CGACTTATAAACAATAAATGAAGTAAGGAGTAAGTGAATTTTATTCAAGAGTCTACTTTAGAGTTCACTTTGAAAGAACTTTAGAGGGATTTTTTTTACATAATTTAAATGTTGCTTATGATCATATCGATTTTGATATTGACATCGTACAATTACATCTAATGTAAACTACATATTTTTCAATAAGTTGTTGTTTACCAGTTTAGAATATAAGTAAATTGCCCACTACTGTACATGTTTGGTAGATTTTATCATCAGACAAAGACAGTTCGAGAGCATAAAAGTCTGTGTTACAGATAATTATGTCTTTAATAAATATTTAAAAAAGCTATTGCTTATTCGTAGATTGAATCAGTAAATATGTATTAAAGAAAGAAAAAAGAAACAACAATTTTCATTCGATGGAAAGACAAAGGGAATCGGCTCAGCCAATGCTCTCCAAAACAAATGTTTCCAACAACCTTGATCTTTGGCTATCCTTTTCAGTAATGAAACGAAAAACATAGTAAAATCACAAGGTTATATCTATATATTATATATACGTGAAAAAAAAAACCTTGTACTACTTTTTACGAAAATCGCGTAGACAACATGAAATTTCCCACATTTTTTAGAGAATATAGAGGAGTACAGAATGCTAATATTTTTTAAAAATTATGCGTTAATTCATTAAATTAATAAAAAAGACATTACACTCACTAACATGTATTTGACATCCCCCCCCCCCCCCACACACACACACATACGCACGCATATATACTCTTTTGTTTATTGTTTAACTTCTGTGGTAAAATTGAGAATAAGTTAATATTGTTTATCTTTAATACATTTGTCTGTAGCGTAGCCTTGGCGAAATCTTTGATTATACTAGGCGGCACTGAAAATTTCGGGAATTAACGAAGTGACACAACATTACTATTTAAAAATGTATTTATTGCTTTTCGAAGTATTCTCCGCGAAATTTGACACATTTTTCCATACGATGGAACCAATCATTGAAGCAACCATTCCATTCGGAAGTTGGGGTTTCCAAAATGGCCGTTTTGTAGGCGTCCACAGCTTCTTCAGGTGATGAAAATCTCTGTCCACGCAATTTATTCTTTATTTTAGGGAAAGTATAGAAATCATTAGGGCTTAGGTCGGGGCTGTACGGCGGATGGTCTAATAATTCTATGTTTTCTTGCTCTAAAAACTCTTTTGTTCTGTGCGCGGCGTGAGAACTCGCATTGTCGTGATGGAGGATGATGCGGCGGTTGCAGTTCTCTTTACGGAGTTCAGAAACGACCTGTGGCAAACAAATGCTAGCATACCATTCTGCATTAACCGTTCTTTGTCCCTCAAGAGGAATAGTCGTAACATGGCCGGTTTTGGAGACAAACGTGGCCACCATTTTTTTTGCAACACTCCGTGAACGAACAATTTTTGTTGGCTTTAACTCATTTTCGAACACCCAAACTCGTGACTGGTTTTTTGTTTCGGGTTCGTACGCGTATATCCAGGATTCGTCACCTGATACAATGTTGTATACAGCATTTGAGGATCCTGCGTGGAATCTTTCGAGAGTTCTGACGCACCAAGTAACGCGAGCCGCTTTTTGCTCTTCACAGAGCGAATGCGGTATCCATCGGGAAAACAACTTTTTTACACCTAATTGTTCATGCAAGATTATTTGTATTTGACTCATGCCAATGTCTAAAGTTGCCTGAATTTCGCGGTATGTCACATGTCGATCTTCCTCAATCAGCTTACGCACAGCATCAACGTTTTCTTGGGTGACTGCAGTTTTTGGACGACCTTGACGGGGATCATCACTGAGCTTGACACGTCCGCGTTGAAACTCAGCAAACCAGCGATAAATTGTGGTTTTGGATGGGGCTTCATCACCAAATGCAGAAATCATCCGGTCAACACACTGTTTTTGTGTTAAACCACTTCGAAAGTCATAATAAATCATCGCTCTTGAATTTTCTCGAGTCAATTCCATTTTCTCAACGACTAAACAAGTTTGACAAAACCTCGTGAAGAAGACCGAGAATCTTTTTTTAAATAAATAAATGGTATTCGATTATTAAAACCAAGGAGTTTTCAATTAAAAAGATTTTAATATGACAGGAACAGTGGAAATATTCCATTCCCAATACTTTTAGTGCAGCCCTCATAGAAGTATTGTATTTGATAATAGAACCATAATGATGTTCAAACTTATAATTTCAATTAATTATAGTCGAATTTCTACTACTGTGAGACCACTAGTTTAAATAGAAGTGCCTAGAGCATCGAATGCAGAAGCTACTATAGTACTGAACAATTGCAATCACTTCTATATTTTTATTACGTAAGTAAGACTTACAGAGTAGGTATTAAGTATGCTTAAACAAGTTAACCTTAATTGCACGGCCAAGATATATTTACTTACCTTGAGAGTTGACAGCTACAATCGCAAACATAGCGATCAGTGCAAAAGCGATCTGGAAATACACACGATTTTCAATAAGAAATACGCTACTAAATTAAATCAAATCTTTTTTTTTATTGCTTAGATGGGTGGACGAGCTCACAGCCCACCTGGCTTTAAGTGGTTACTGGAGCCCATAGACATCTACGACGTAAATGCGCCACCCACCTTGAGATACAAGTTCTAAGGTCTCAAGTATAGTTACAACGGCTGCCCCATCCTTCAAACCGAAACGCATTACTGCTCCACGGCAGAAATAGGCAGGGTGGTGGTACCTAACCGCGCGGACTCACAAGAGGTCCTACCACCAGTAAAACATTTACAGAGTTTTCAGTCATTACAGAGTTTTTTTACAGTCATACAGTCATTACGGAGTTTTTTTAAATCACAGATACTCTTATGAAAAACGAAGCTTGAATTTCCCAACATTCTTTAAACCTTTCCCTAAATTGAGTGACAATATTAAAAATTAACAACTAATCAGTAAGTCACTAAATGCAACTCAAAAAAATTCTCGCACCGTATATAATTAACTTAACGGGATGAAAGACGAATGTACACAAAATACAAATAAATTCTAATAATCTATGCAATAAGACAAATATCTACTTATACCTAATTTGTAAAAAAAATCCTTAATCAATTCGTTGTTTTGTCGTATGAGCCAAGTGTTTTTAGCAGAAACGAATTGGCCGCCCACAATGTACACTTTCAATTTTATTAAACAAGTATTGAAAAGGTAGCATTGGAGTTCATGACGTAGCAGACAGGCTGCAGGAAAGTCCCCGGGGTAGGCCCAAGAAATGCTGATTAGATGTCGTAAAGGTGGTTTTTTTTTTTTTTTGTTGCTTATGTGGATATGGACGCGAATAACATCGGCCCGAAGGTTACCGGAGACCGGACAAAATGGAAGAGTTTAAATAGGACACATAGTTAAAACGGACACTGGCACTAGACCGAGAAAATGCTAGGAAGAAGAAGAAGTATTGAAAAGGAACAGCTTACCGTAAATTTCATGATTTCTATTCTTAAAACAGGAAATTGATTATTACTTCGTGCTGCTGGCTTAATATTTGATAACTTTCGGTAGCCTCCCAAACATTTATATGAGTCTTAAGCCGGCGGATAACCCCGGTGTACCCATATAATTGTTTCGAAATTGATAACAAAATTTTAAGAAACGTATTACGTTTAACTCAATTAAAAAAAACATGATATATAAAATGTAAACAGTCTCTTGACAATGGTTCTGATTGTTAAATCGGTCCTCACACATTGATAACTAAGCAACCTTTGTAATCTAATCAAGCGGATTTATAATTAACTTTGTTTTTTTTTTTTATCCAACAATGCTGATAGCCTTGAGAGGCTATTTCAGCTTACCCTAGCTTGTGTAGGTGAGCTCACGGGGCTCAAACCGGAGAATTGCTAACACTGACCCTAGCAAGAGCAGTGCTTCGCAGAATCTACCACCGGATCGGAAACGCGACCCACTGAGAAGATCCGGCGAGAAACTCAGTGGGCTGTGTCTGTGGGTTAGGATTCACTACTTCCAGAACACATATGCGGGCAATGGGTATGGTGTTATTCGGATATTTATAAATACCCATAATTTATTGTTTGAACAATTGACGTGATATTTTGCGCGATAGTTAGCTCGAAAGCCAATTCAACGAAAAACAATTTTTCTTGAGCACGGATGCAATTGAGGGATTTGAATATATGTGTCTATGGTTATTTTTTTATTAAGCTTGATATTAAGAGTAGCGTGGAGTATTATATTGTAGTTTAAAATTTATGTTTATGTTTAAAATTTATGTTTGGAACAACTATGTTTTCCAAAATCCAAAACTACATTAAAGAATAATAGTATACTAAGCATGAGCGTTAGGATATTTAATAAACTAACAAAGAAATTAAAAGACTTAACCGATTTTCATTTTAAGAAAAAACTAAAAGATAATCTTATTAGTGAAAATTATTATCACATAAATTATTTTCTTAGGGACGACATTGAAAATAAATGGAGTTTTTAATTATTAGTTGAATTATGGATGAATGAATGGTAAATTATATAATATTATAATATCTTGCACATGTAAAAAAATGACAAAGCATACACGTTGCTTTTAACTTATGTAATAACTCATTTTCACTATACTTCGCGAATAAAGGATTTCTTTCTTTCTTTTTAAATCGGAAGGGTACGGGGCTGGTCGAATTATGAAGTAGAAGTCTCAACGAAGTAAGAACTTTCATACTATATGAACCAGAATAGTTGGTGTGGCAGTACTGACCTGTGCCAGTCAACATAAGTCCATAAAAATTTGTGATGTAAGCAATGCATTGTATAATTGCTGTCATATCGGAACAAGGTTCATGTAAATGTTGTGCAACAAATTATCACGTACGTTTTAATGAAACCAGTGACACTCTTGTTTACATGTTCTGTTCGCAAGTTCCAATATCTTAGCGTCAGCACTTTGGTTTGATGTCTCTGATAGATGCCGCTAAATATGGATATACACGTACGATGATTCATTTTTTTTTTCTCATTTACAATCCATATAAAAGATCTCCAGTCTTTTGAAGTGAATAGTTCAAGTTTAACTGGAATACAAGACACAGGTTGACAGGTACGTCGATGCACATTGCTTTTTCATAAGATTGAAGATCTACTAGATTGGCCTTTCATCGAGTCAAATTCTATACAGTCCAATTTATTGATTAGTGTAGTCGTTCGACATCTAAATAGTGAAATAATTTGTTAAAAAAATTATTGGCACTGTTGTAATAATTTTAAGCACTCCTTGTCTAGTTAATGAATTATTTTGGTATTTATTAAACGTTACTTTTAGTTTATTAGTTGTTATTTTATTAAGCGTTATTAAAACGTTAAAACGTTATTAAAATAAAGGAATATAAATTATACCGTATTAAAATTTGCCTCGAGTATTATAGCTTAGATCAGTTTTCATACATTATCTTTAGGATTGTCATGTAACAGACATATTAACATGAATACCGAAGAAAGCAATCTCTTGGGAATAGTATTTTGACCTTTTTTGTACCCCTTACAAAATGAATGTAAAATTTAATGATTATCGATTGAATAGTAGCAGACGTGAAAGTATGTATAACTAACAAACTACAACTTAACAGACCTGGATTGGATAATATCAACTAAAATTCAAAACCAGCTATGCTCTCTTTTTGCAAATTATCTACATTTAATTATTTATTTTTATTGTATACTATAATCACAGTTTATTTTAATTTTAGTAAACATGAAGACGATCCTAATTTTATGCGCGTTAGTATCGGTCGTTGTTTGCCGACCGGAGGAATACTATAGCAGTCAATATGATAATTTTGACGTCGAGCAGCTGGTGGGCAACTTGCGCCTCTTGAAGAACTATGCCAAGTGCTTCCTCGACCAAGGCCCTTGTACCGCCGAAGGAACAGAATTTAAGAGTAAGTTGATGAGTTACAATATTTATTTTTTGTTATTCTGTTCCTATCTCTTGTCAACTTGCCAATATCGAAAAACGACGACATTTCACGACAAAAGGAAAACATTTTTTTTCGTGTAGTAAATTAGAATCAATTTATCGATCATCCACGATTCCAACTATTCAAATTAAGCATTTCAAATTTTAAGCATCTCTCTTATATTAAAAGTATCTGATGCTATTTGTGACATAAAATTATTGCGACATAACAAATATAGCGTAGTGAAAGAGATCTTAATAAAATTAACAAACGAATTTATAGAAAAGTAGAGTTTAAACAGTATTTATTTTATTAACAGTAAAAGGTTTTTTCCCTTTTTTTATTAAATGGATAAACGAGATCACTGTCCACTAGTAGGTAAATGGTTAGCTATGCCCAAGGACACTGTCGCCTTTCATCTCGAGATAACTGGTTGTAAGTCTCATTTGCGGTGTATTTGTGCTGTCGGCCATTTCTTTAGGCTGGAAAGCACTACTGCTTCGCGGCATAAATAGGCAAAATTTATATGTATATACATACCCGGGCTAGCTTACAAGTTATTATTATTAATGTGGTAGGGAATAGGTCCCCATTTAGGTCCTCTTAATTAGTGCAGTAAAATGGCCTCGAGCGGGGAGAAATAGCAGGACATCTTGAGACGCATCAAGACTGCTCTTTCCAACACTACACGACGATCATGACCACTCTATCAAGAGTGACACGATTGAGAGGAAATTACTCCTGATAGTATCATGACAATACGTAAATGTGTGTGTTCACAGAAAGAATCCCCGAGGCGCTTAGAACTAAATGCGCCAAATGCAACCCGAAACAGCGTCATCTGATCCGTACAGTGGTAAAGGCTTTCCAGACTAAATTGCCCGACCTGTGGGAAGAGCTTGCCATAAAGGAGGACCCCAAGGGCCAATACAAACAGGAATTTACTGCTTTCATCAACGCCACGGACTAAAGAGGAATGCCTACACGAAACTAAATAACAAAGCTCGCTATGAAACATTGCCATGATACTTTGAATGGGTTCTTTGAAGCAAACGTGCGCTAAAATGTATTGTTGCAACATCACATTAGTATATTAAAGGATATAGAGTTAAGGATGCACATATATGTTAATTTATTGAACAAAATAAAACTACGTAGACTTATGTGATCTTTGATATTTTGTATTTAAGTTTGTGCCCTCTTATGAACATGGTTGGCAGCCAATAAATTTGCATACCAATAAGTTGGCTTCTGCTATATTGTAATTTTTTGCATAGGCTATTGTATGGCTCATGGCCCACCTGGATTTAAATGGTTTTCAGAGCTCATATACATCATAACGTGAATGCAGCAATAGCATAACGACTGTTGTACACTTCAAACAGAAGTGGGCTAATACGGCACAAGTAAGCAAGGTGCCGGTAGTTACTGCTAATTAAAGCATAACAAAAGTAAGACTCTATGTCAAGTGAAATCAGTACATAGTATCTTTAGACATAAATATTACTAGGCCTGAGATAATAGGAGCATACGTCCCATGTTAGAGAGTGGTGACCACCGTTAATGAACATCAGCAATACTAGGGACACAGACAAGTCACTGCAAATATATAGATTTGCGGTTCCAGCCTCCTCAAGATGGTCAAGTCTTCTATGCCCATCCTGGTCATCGTTCTCGTCGAACCCGTCGCTAGCGACGAAGGGCTCGACGAGTAAATTAAACCACAGACACAGGCCACTGAGTTTCTCGCCGGATCTTCTGAATGGGTCGCGTTTCCGATCCGGTGGTAGGTTCTGCGAAGCACGGCTCTTGCTAGGGTTCGTATTAGCAGCGTCGTCAGGTTTGAGCCCCGTGAGCTCACCTACTAGTTAAGGTTACGCTGAAATAGCCTCTAAAGCCTATCAACTTAGGTGGGAAAAAAATACGCTCATGTTCATATCCATACGTGCAATTTTTTTTAACGAAATACGCAGTTGCGTAACTTCTGATAGTAGGGCGTTTGATATGCAAGTCCCCCACCGTCTTGCCTATTTCAGTTGCGAGATATTTAAATGGGTCAACGAAAGATAGGATTTCCACCACACAAAGCCTCGATCACATCACGTGTCATCTGTCCATGAGCATAATTTAATAAAACATAGTAATTTTTTTTTAAATAATACTTTTTATGGATACGGCTTAATAATAATTGTGAAATGTACAAGTTCGTTAAAAGACGCCGTCATATAGAATCAACAAACAAATAAATGTTAGGCTAATAAAAACGCGTTACGATGGTATACATTTATTACTGGTGGTAGGACCTCTTGTGAGTCCGCACGGGTAGGTACCACCACCCTGCCTGTTTCTGCCGTGAAGCAGTAATGCGTTTCGGTTTGAAGGTTGGGGCAGGGGTGGGGGTTGAAACCTTAGAACTTATATCTCAAGGTGGGTGGCGCATTTACGTTGTAGATGTCTATGGGCTCCGGTAACCACTTAAGCACCAGGTGGCTTGGGAGCTCGTCCACCCATCTAAGCAATAATAAAAAAAACATGTTTTTCTATAATAATTCGATTCACCCTCTAATGGAGACTGCTATTATTTTATTTATATACAAAATGTACGACAGAATATTTTGTTAAACTTAATTAAAACGACTTTATATTGCTGATAGTGTGTAACTTTCCTCGGTCATTTATGTTTGTTTGTTGATAAGCTCTTTGTAACTATCACTCCCAACGCTGTCGTTATGTTAAAATATTATTTTTAATTTCATACGAATGCTTAATGTGAGATTGCGTCGTGACTTTGATTGTTATTTCATTTCCATTCTGGTTTAAGAGCTCGGCGTGTGCAGAGTATAGAATAATCTTCCGAATCAGTAAGTCTGTTTTGTTATTTTTTTATATTGGTAGCCTTGACTTGCAACTTGACTTGACTGAGTTGAAAATATTCGCATTCTTTCGGATGATTTTCTTCTTCATTCTTCTCGTCTAAAAATCACTATTATACAAGAAAAAGTATCATATCACAAAAGAAAAGTTTATTAGCGTACATTCCAACTGCTCGACACAGAGGCTTATTGGTGCTGTTTTCTGATTAGCACACGATGGCGATTTAGGCGCTAGCTTCACGTAAATACATAATATTATCGCTCAATGACCACCCTGAACAGATTTCATCACGATAAGTATCTATGATATCGGAAAGTTGAACACGCATTATGATTTTTAAGATTTAATGAGAATAATTGGCTCAGTGAAATTAGCTTGATGATTGGAAGTGATGATATTATCATAAGGCTCTCCATTCCCTGGCGCTTTCCGAGTTCTGCTCCGGTTGCTTAGTGAGTCATCGGGATGTTGTGTTAGTGAGTTAGATTACTAATACGTAAATAATAGAACTCAAAACGGATGAAGACAAAGAGACAGACAAGGGTCTCTGGCATAGGGATGGCACTTTACAATGGATACCTATATGAAGATTTAATGCAAGAAGAGTTCTCAGCAGGTGCCCGGTCTTAGAACACATGCCAAATCTTTATGCTGTATGATAATAGGATTTGCTGCGCCAATCTCACATAGCGTGGGATGAAAGGAAGAAGAAGAAGACATAACAGAAAAGGGAGAACAATTCGTAGTAATCGGTTTCATCTGAACTAACAATGCCTTGTGTTGAACTCATTAATTTTAGTTTAGTCAGGCACTCGCCACGTCGCGAGCAAAGCCGCACCGTTCCGCGGTTGCTTTAGTTAATCAAAGTTAGTTAAGGTCATTTGCATCATTAACTCTATACGCTTATAATATAATTTGTATTCCGTTCGAACACAAAAAGAGATCATTTTAGAATTTGATTATATCATCACGTTTCTGTGTGTGTACGTGATTTTCAATTAAATGTATAAATTTTTTGGTTATTACGGTGTATTAAAATTCATAAACTTTTTGTTATTAATGACTAAAAACAGAAGACTCTTGAATTAGATTAGATAAATGATATACGGGTATTTTATTAATCGTTTTCTTTTTTGTTCATATACCTATATTTGTGTTTAGATTTAGTAGCTGGATGAGAGCTCATGGTTCATATAATGACAAGTATTATATTTACCGTAGTCTATGGAATTTACATGATAGCATGGAATGGAAGAAATCCGGCAAAAACTGGAATCTCACTAGACATATTAACAACATAAACTTGCATAAATATAAAATTTTTGGGCAATCACCCCACTGAGTTCCTCGCGGGATCTTCTCAGAGGTGATCTGGTTGTAGATTTAACAAAGCACTGCTCTTGCTAGGGCAGACGTTGGCAACTCTCCCAGGCTGACTCCCGTGAGCTCGTTCATAAGTGAAGATACGTCTACGGGGAAGCCAGGATATCCCATCGAGGCCGCTACCAGATAAATAAAACCTGAGTGACAATATTTGGATCGTCATTTTTTGGAGTAACAAAACCGCTCGGTGGAAGTTCTTCCCTGTTGTCAATATACAGTACATCGATATAGCATCATCTGCATTTCCTGTTTGATAATTATTAAAAACGTCAATGTCTCTATTTTATCATATCTACGTACCCTATAAATCTGGCGGTAAACATAAAAGACTCATTTCAATCTAGGTATAACATATATCACTAATCCTTTATTTAAATTGCTTTTAAATCGCTTTTACCATTTTAAATTCGTGAACACAAACAAATAGAAATAGAAGTTTGCCTCGCATCTGTCTTATATTCAATATCGATAGTTCTAGATTCGTCTCGATAGCTCTAGTGTTTTTGGCAGCGCGGAACTTTTAATAGTGGCCCGATCTTCCTACTTTAATTCAAATCTAGCTTGACATTCAAGACATTTAGTCATGGTTTGTTTAAGTAATTGCGAAATGTTTTATTTACAGATAAAATTAGTTGTGGTCAGTTGGCCCAGAGTTGTATAATCGATTACGTTGCAAGTAACCTATGTTTGCTTCATTGGGCTTGGAATTGCGATTTTCTGTTATTTCTTCTAGATTTTAATCGCATCATACATTCGTTTTTACTCAAAGGTTTTAGTACAATACAATATAAGTACATCGTGTCTTGACTAATCCTTTGTACTTTATTTAAATTTATCCTTGTATTGCACAACTTTCTGGTTTTTTGTATTTATTGTAGCTAATAAATTTATTTTTTACTTTCCTCTGTATTCGCTACTTTGGTAAACCGAAATTCAAGTAACTTAGCTGCAAACTTTTACTTCTCTTAAGTTAAATAATAGTCCACATTTATTCTGTAAAATAAAAATGTTAATAACAAATAACTGCGTTCCAAACGTTTGAACTCAGTTAAAAAATTACGTGACAAATTTTCTGTAGAATTACATTTAGACGGTTAACAAGTTCTTTGTCAATATTTAGATTGAATTACCGCGAGCTTGGGATTCCCAACCTCAAAGTGCTACCTATCTGATAAACAGTATTTTAAATGAAGAACTGTCAGCATGAACGTCAAATAAACAGATGCCAGTTCACAGTACAGCAGTTTTTTGTGATTCGCTAATTGCTTTATGAGCATTATTGAGAATACTTAATTTTCATGTCACGTTCATGTTGTTTTTTTTTAAAGTAGATGTCTTTATGCTCTCAGACTCTCAGCCCACCCGATAAAAATGATTATCGGACGACGCATGTCAATCAACGCGAATAAAAATTGCAAATGAAACAAAAAAAAAAGTTACAGTTCTTATTTCAGTTTTTGAACCGAAGTTGATTGGATATTATGCTCTTATAAACACAGATATGTTTTTTATTTATTTTATTTTATGCTTAGATGGGTGGACGAGCTCACAGCCCACCTGGTGTTAAGTGGTTACTGGAGCCAATAGACATCTACACCGTAAATGCGCCACCCACCTTGAGATATAAGTTCTAAGGTCTCAAGTATAGTTACAACGGCTGCCCCACCCTTCAAACCGAAACGCATTACTGCTTCACGGCAGAAATAGGCAGGGTGGTGGTTGGTACCTACCCGTGCGGAATCACGAGAGGTCCTACCACCAGTAATTACGCAAATTATAATTTGGCGGGTTTGATTTTTATAACACGATGTTATTCCTTCACCGTGGAAGCCAATCGTGAACATTTGTTGAGTACGTATTTCATTAGAAAAATTGGTACCCGCCTGAGATTCGAACACCGGTGGATCGCTCAACACGAATGCACCGGACGTCTTATCCGATGAGCCACGACGACTTCAAAAGTCAGTAGTCGTTATACACAAGCCTCACAAACTAGGTTTTAAGGTCGCCCGGACGGGTTCTTAAAGTCAAATCTTTTAATTTCGTACACAGATTGGAGACTATAATTCAAGATGAAGGGTTTCTACGTGCTGTGTTTTGCACTGTTCGCTGCTGTCTACTGTAAAGAGACATACAGCTCGGAAAATGACGATCTGGATATTGAAGCTTTGGTGGGAAATATTGATTCTCTGAAGGCCTTTATTGGATGCTTCTTAGAAACATCCCCTTGCGATGCTGTTTCCGGGGATTTCAAAAGTGAGTACAGCTCGTAGCCCATTAGAATTAACAGTTAAAACAATACTCTTAGATTTTAACACCACATGTATTGTTTGGATATTAGTAGTCAAATACATATTTGCTACCAATTTAACCTAAAATAGATACATTCTTATTTTACGTATATTCAAATTAATGTAGTTAATTAAATCCATCATTAAAAAACAGCATTAATGATGGCTGAGAGAGATAATTTCATAATAGAATATGGACAATATTATATATACTGTCCTATGGCACGTTGTGTTGTTCGGTTTTATTATATGTTTAATATATTTAATCTTACTTCAGAGGACATTCCTGAAGCTGTGGCAGAAGCATGTGGCAAATGTACTCCAGCCCAGAAACATCTATTCAAACGTTTCCTTGAAGTCGTCAAGGACAAGCTACCTCAAGAATACGAAGCCTTCAAAACTAAATACGATCCCCAAGGAAAGCATTTCGATGCTCTGTTATCCGCCGTCGCTAATTCTTAAGGAAATCAATTTTTAATCTTCCCCGCTGTTTTGAATTTGCTCGCCGATATGAATAATTTGTACCTTAATTAAATTTGTTTCTGTGCTTATGGTCGTTTTTATTTTGGTAATCAAAATACTACATAGACTCAGATTATGTAATAAATATATTTTTCAATTTTACGGATTCTCCTTCGTTTCTGTTTTATTTAAAAAACAATCAAGTTACTATTATTATTGTTTTTTAAAACGTTTTTTTTTTAATTATTCATTTTAATGATAATAGTTATTATTTATTATTTAACAGTAAATTAGGCCCTTCTAGTTATTTTTGTTACGTTTTCATTTTGGGTTGGAATAGTTTTCGTAGAAGGTCAACATTTCTCATCAATGAAGTAAATTTAAGAAATTGAAAAAATGTATTAAGCTCTTTTGTGTTACAATGGAACTCACGATTTTCTATTTAATATCTGACTAATCTTAAAAACTTTTTCGATTTCAACCTTTAAACAGTGTTTGCATAATTGTTTAGTACACTGTATCTAAATATGGTTTTTCCTCAAGTACATCAAATGATGACTATAAAAACAACCTAACACTCTCAAAACATTGTTAACATGCAGTTTGCAAACATCCATCTTATAGGTAAACATATTATTATACATATATATTGTTATTATATAGACTTAAAATAGATTTATGCTTTGATATTTATCAGCCCACAATCGTCCACTGCTGGACAAAAGCGAGTCTTTAACTCTCATGGGCTTACTCCAAGAAATAAACGATTTAGTAAATATACTTAATAAGGAATTAAAAAAAGACCTTGCTTAATATTTTAAAACAGTCTAAATAAATAAATCTAGACGAACCAGTGCTCAAATTTACAAAGGTTTTAATTATACGCCGTCTAATCATTATATCGCAAAGTCGTGGTGTTTTGGTGATGTTTGGTGGTATGTGTGAGTCAAACTCGAACTAAGATTTCTCTACTTTTTTATTTTATTAATCCTTTATGATCTGATACCAGCCACAATTTACTGTTATGTTTAAAAAAGCATCAAGCAAGCAAAGATTTGTCACAGCTTCAGATCTGTATTGAACACAGAATTGTTTAGGTTTCTTTGATTTTACCTCATTGTATATTTTGTGTAGCACTAGAACTTGCAAGCTAATCGCCGGTCGGACACAGCTAGGAATTAGCATAATTTCTACATGACTTGAGTGTAAGTAATGTAATGACATCTATCGGTGAAGAGAAAACAAATTCTATCAACAATTTGAATCACGCTACCAATAATTTCGGGAAAACCTTTACCGTTTAATATCGCGTTTTTATTGTCACTTTATTATTTCCGTCGTTTCCAGTACTTTAGTTTTTCTATGCACTGACGACACTCACATGAAGGAAGTATTTTTCCATATAAGTAAGTGCTCCTACTGAAACACACATATATGTATGTTTTAACTCGTATAGGTAGCTAAGTTTCCGATGCAGTCCTGTTTTCGCTGCGATTGCTGTCAGTAATATTATTACATTAAATACACTAGTAAGACGCATAGCACAATTATTTCCGCTGCTTTTAGAAAATCTAAAATTTTAATACGATGCCAACGAAAAGTTTACAAACATTACATTTATAATAAATAGCTTTCCGCTTTGCCTTAAATAAGTTTTTCTTTGTTTTTTCGACGAAAAAAAATCTATGATTGGCTATAATTAAACCCAAATGATGTTAGTAAGTTTTTTAGAGTACCGCAAATATGTATAAGAAGGAGATTAAATCGTCACGCTTGGCAAGTCACGTATGATGCAACTTAGAATTAAAATAATAGTAATTGCAGGTAACTTAATTACCCGACAGTTATATTAATTTCAAATATGTATGTGTGTAATGGAACGTTCCGGACATTAAAAAAGCACTTGATTTTTTTGTGAATCGTCTTCCTTGTAAATATTACTGAAGGTCAAACAATGCGAATGTTTTAAATCCCAGCATTTAAACAGATAACGCCATTTGCTTTACGTCTATTATGAGATCAATTGATGGGTGAACACATTACGATCATGATCGAGAACTTTTATTCAAAGTGTACGATTAGTAAATCTGTGTTATTCTTATGTTTAATATTTTTACCGTATGCCCTGAATCAGAAATATTACGATTCGCGGTACGATTATTATGATATCGATCATTTGGTACAGAACCCGAGGCTATTGAAAAAATATTTGGATTGTTTTTTGGGTAAAGGACCTTGTACGCCTATAGGAAGACTGTTTAAACGTAAGTAATTAAATGTTTTTTCCTGCAGTATACACTGTATAAAGTTTTATGTCTCAAATTAAATTACTCTATGTACTCTCTCTTCATTTTGTCTTTTCTGTGTTTTAATTACAAAATTAGATATGTATCATGTAGCCTAACCGCGGAAAGAAATAATTTTAGGACTAGATATTTTAATATTTCTTTGATAAAACAAGATTTAAATTGCTGTCGAGTTTCTTTTATTCTGTCAACTACTTATTTTTGTACCACATCATGATACATGATTTTTTTATTTTAATGATACATAACATATAAACATTACATATCTTCATATTGATTGCATGCTAAAAATGTTAAGAAAACAATTGCGGCCTTTTTATTATACGAGATTTTTGATGTCAACTGATTCATTGAATAGAACAACAGCCTTAATTATACAATACAAAACATACAAAATGCTAAACACAATTCAAAACAACTATTAATTTAGTACCTACGAAGTTTTTTCACGTAAACTCTACGATGATGGTCTTTTCCGTATGTTTTTCTAAGTAGCAGGATAATCGCTTATTCGAAATCGGTAAAATCAAAAACACAGCAGAACAAAAGTCGGCAATGAACCAAGAAATAACTATCTCCTAACATTGTATGTATATTAAGTCTTTACTTACGCAATTGCTTTTAATATACAAAAAGCTAAACTCCTTTTTTGGATAAATTTTACTTCTACAAAACTAAATATGTATCCATGCCTCTCTGCTAGCGCAGCATTGGTAATTTCAATATCCTTCTTGAAGAATTCCGGTGTACTCAACAAACTCTTCAGAGGCATTTTGTACTGCCTCTCGGTTATGGAAAAATTTCCAAGAAGTTGTCCAACCTAGCTCTTGTAGGTTTGAGACCATCTGTTGTGCCGTATGAGGTCGAGCGTTGCGTGTAGGAGCAACGGGGACAAGTCGTCTTCTCGCATTAAAACTGTATAATCTCAAAAATTACTAATTTTACAGGAGAATGTTTTAAAGGTTTAACATGTGATATTTTTAATATTAATAATTTTTGCAACATTAACTTTTTATTTTGTACCAGTTACATTTTCTGTCTTTTAAAGAACTTAAAAAAAAAACTAAACTACGCTCTTTTGACAGTATTTATTAGAAAAATACTGGTGATACTAAAAGATTCTGCATATTAACTCAATTTCGAATGTTTTTGGAAATTGTACACTTTTAATGCGAAAAGGCGAAGTGATTGAGCAAGGCTAACCGGAGATTCGTGAGCTTCTTCATTACTGTATCCAGTTTTTTAAAGTGCACATCCGCAGTAAATTTAATACTGGTTCCATTTGGTTACAATGCTGTTATGATTTATACCGATACTAGACGGCCAAACAGTGACAATGTTTTTTCTATGGGTAAGTTTTCGTTTGAGGCACTGCCTAAGAGCAGAACCAGGATCTAAGCGACATGAAGACCACTTACAATTGCAAATTTTTTTCTTCGAAGGGACAATGCGGCTTAAAATCCCTTCGTTTCTGTGGCTGTTAAGAAACGCAAGGCATAGCTTAACGCGTTAATCGAGCAGGCGATCATTCAGTTTGTGCAGCACCCACATTGATTTAAATATACCCACATATCGTTTTTTACCTTACCAATTTGACGCAAATAGACCAATATTGTTGTAATGGTCACGTTGAAAACAGGAAGCTTAGGTATAGATTCAGTTTCGTTTTCCTTCCATTATCGTCTATAATTCGTTGTTATTGACAATAGTTTTGTGGCGACCTCGGGGTTCATTGTTTGATTAAAATGTCCATGTCGGAAGAGATCAAACCAATAACGAGCTATGCATTCATTTGTAGTATTTACCCTGTACACGTCATGATGTTGTGAGTCGTTTGTGCGGCATTGCTACCGCGACGGAATTCGTATGAAAAATATACCTATAAATATAGTGAAAACAAAACACTAATCAATAAGCAAGTAAGCAAGTGATTGAATTTGAAAATGTAATAACATGTTTTTTAAATAAAAACCATTTAATTAAGTATTTATTGCCAGTCATATAAAAATTGCGTTTCGAATGTTGCCTCGTAAAATGGCAAATTCATATTAAAAGACCTTTTTTTTTGTAAAATTCTTCTATGTAAAATTCACCTACAACAAATTTAATTGCAAAACAAAGGCCTGGTTTGTTTTTGTATTAATCTGAAGCTTCAATCTTGGTTAACGTAGTTTAATATTTATAATTTTCAACATTAAGAAACTGTAAGAGAAAAGTTCTTGCATATAATCGTTTTACGTTCAGTAGCTGAAGCTAGCTAGTTTTAAGCTGAAATAGCCTCTCAAGGCTATCAGCATAGGTAGGAAAAAAAATAGTTGAACACTCATACTAGAGACCGATATAAATAAATAAATAAAACTTTTTTTTATTGCTTAGATGAGTTGACGAACTCACAGCCCACCTGGTGTTAAGTAGTTACTGGAGCCCATCGACATCTAAAACGTAAATGCAACACCCACCTTGAGAGATAAGTTCTAAGATCTCAGTATAGTTACAACGGCTGCCCTACCGTTCAGACCTAACTAACCTCTAGGTAATAAAAATGAGTAGATATACGGTAGAAGTCATAATATACATCACCAGGAAATAAGAAAAATTAAAAAAATCTGTAGTATAAGTTTACGATTTTGTCTGTTTCCAGCTCCTAGGTAAATACCTACAAAGAATGTTACGAATGCTGGCGTAGCCCTTGAACTAATCAGATTCTAGGCCAACTACTGCGTACTAACAGTATACTTAGCAGCAGCAATTTTACAATTTCTGTATAAACTCTGTACAGGTTTAGTATGGAATGAGTTACCTGATTTAATTTTATTGAAATGGATCAAGGCAATAGATCTATAGTTCAAAACATGATACATAAGCGAGCTTTTAATTAGAATTCCAAGACAGTAAGCGTAATGTGGTGACGATTTCTGGGATATAAGGATGGGCGGAAGGGGTAGGCGAAAAAGTTTGGGATTATTATTCTCTTTGCATGGAAGTCGCTTAGATTGGTAACAACTATCGCACATCGCCATATTTCCGATTTTTCGGATGGTATAATTTTCGACGAGGTCAGTGACCTACTTCTAAAAAATGTTATTTAATGTTTCCATCCTGTAAAATGTGTTCACAAGTAAAATATAAATAAAAACTGTGTTTAAAAAAGAAAATAAAACGTTTTTATTTATAAAATCAATGCTTCAATTATTTTACAGTATGTATTTGACGGGAATTATTTCCTTTTAAGGATGATACCATGTGGTCACAGCCATATAAGATAACGAAAAAACTTTTGTAACTAATCCTTCTTCATCTTGCCCTTATCCCATATGTCGGCTCGGCACAGCATGTCTTATTTTCCCATTCTTTTTCCATTCGTTATCTCTGCACTCACATCCTTCTCCGGCATATCCTTTTTCACACAGTCCCTCCAAGTATTTTGAAGCTATCAGTATGTTTTTTAAACCTTCGACAAAATAGGTTTTATGTTTAAATATTGGTCAAGTATTAAAAAGTTTTTCCTTATAAATTACTTTGGTGTTTGAACTAGGAAAGAATTTGGAATTTTGCTTGTCTGCGTAGAAAGAATTTATTTATGTACTCAAATTAGCTACATTACTAAAATAAACGCCGGCATCGGGTATCTTTTCCATTGTAAAACAAAACAATTGCTTAAGTGTCACGAAATAATCTTAGCAACACATTAATGATTACATAATTACTATTCAATTTTAGAAGTCATGCCTGAAGTGATTACTACAGCATGCGCCAAATGTACTCCGACGCAAAAGCGATTCGCCAGGAAGACGTTTAATGCTTTCAGAAGATACTTCCCTGAGACGCTCATGGAACTCAGAAGAAAATTTGATCCTGAAAGCAAATATTATGACGCCTTTGAAAAAGTAATCACTAACGCATGATCATCAAGAACAATCTTTAAATTAAGGTAAGCATTGTTCTGGAACCGTATTATTAAACATAACTCAAAAACACATTAAGTTTAGAATATTATTATCTATGCTTAGCAAATAAAATCTATGTTATTAATCTAAATTATTTTTTAGTTTTAAATTCTTCGAATGAAATTGGCAATCTGTAAATTTTACTTGTAGTAAAATTAAAAGTGTGATATGGAGTTATAGGTGATATAGGAAGAAGGATAATATAGAATATAAAAAATAGGTTCCGTGTGTTTGTGCCCGCAAATCTCTGAATGTACTTCACGGATTGATGATAAAACTTTACACAACATTTGATTTCAACTGGACAATTGTTGTGTTGTGACAATGTTTACTTTTTATCATGGATATTCAACGAAAAGTGTAGTTTGAAAAGATGGGTGTTTTTCATACAATTAGCGCTGTCACAGCGGAGCGTGACCAGGTTTTTAATAGATGAAATAAATAGATAGGGAAGTAGGAATTACATGAAATATTACGAACCGGAATAGAAGTTGCATAGTCGTAACTTCTCACTGACAGACCAATATTAAAATATTAGATCTTTTTGCCGAAATATTTTTAACATTGTCGATCAAAATATAAAAGCAGTTCTCTTAAAATAATAAATTTTACTTCACAATAAGGTGAACATGATGTATCCATAGGTAAGAGGTAAATACTTATGAATTCAGTGCATGATTTATTGTATTCGAAAAACAATTAAACGTTGACGAACTCCTTTGTCAAGTCATTTCCTTGCTTATTCATGTTACGATCAATGAATCGAGAAAAATAGAATGTTTTTTTTTATTTTCAAATACTCATGTAGCTTTCGAAAATATTATTCGAATGATAATTTTAGTATATTATTATCTTTTTTAAAGTATTAATGAAAAATTTATTTTAAAAGAGCACCGTAAATTATAAACATAATAATAAATATTATTTGTTTAAAAAATATATTTACAAACCTTTTTCAATGGTTTCCTGAACCACTGATATAAGTTTTATTAATAATATATGTTTGGAAATTAGTTGTGAGTGAATCGAAGATAGTGTTTTTTAAAACTGTCTATGTAAAAATACATTCTGATAACCGAACTTTTTTAGAATCGACTTTGACTATTTATGTTTCTTGAACACTGAAGAGGCATCGTTCAAAAAGGCAATCATCACAATCAATCACAAATTAATCTAAAAAATATTATGTTCCATATTCGACCTTTCTATCTCTTGGTGAAAATATTAAGCCATATGCCATTAGTCATGGCGTTTTTAGCATTCAAAATATTTTCACTTTTTCCTTAACGAGCTAATAATGGCAATACCGTTGTTGCTCAATTTTCGCGTTAACGTTCAGCAATCTACAACATGCTTTGCTTATGACCTGTAAGAAATGCTTTGCTAACGATGCAGTCTGGCCGGATCAATATTTTTCCAATACGATTCTTATTATGTCCACGAAAAAGTCGAAATTTAAATGTTTTGTAACTGACCCATGTACCAACAAAGGTTGGTAGTGGTATACCGACGTCAATATAAACCACTGTCGCTTTCGGTCACAGCTAGTTCCCTAAGTATATTATACAGAGTAAAAGGTGGGTGATTGAACTGCATTCTTATTGCATCAAGTGTTGGATCAGAAGTGAATTGTGTGTATACTATTTCTAGTGATGTTTCAGTGAGATTGGTTGATTTATAAAATATTTATATTTAAAGCATTTCATTGCCAAGAAAGTTGTTCATAATCTAACATATCGATGTTTTTAAGACACACTGAAATTTTAATTAATATTTGATGACTAATGAAACATTAAAATTAATTATTCAAACTGGTAATACCTAATAGTGTGATTAAAATTCACTTCACATTTCACATTGGTCCAATGTCCCTGGAGGCGATGTGTTAACGAGATTTCTTAGTCCGATATTCACATTGTGTCTTCATTCCTTGCTTTATCGTGTACGTTGAAAGATTGATCGGTGTTTGAGCAATTTCGTTATTGATTTCAGAAGTAATTTGTCATCATGAAGAGCGTAATAGTTTTGTCCTGTCTGTTGGCCGCCTGTCTTGCCGCTGATCTCTCAAAATACGAAAACTTTGACGTAGAGCCAATCGTCACAAGCGATAGATTGTTAAAAGCCTATATAAATTGTTTCCTAGACAAAGGCCGGTGTACGCCTGAAGCCTCCGACTTCAAAAGTGAGTAAATCCCCAAATTAACGTAAATATTATACAATTGTTCAAAAACCAGATAATTAATGCTAGCTCGGTGCTTCTGGAATCTATCGCAACCATAGTATCAAAGATGATCCGTATCAAAAATGTTCCTAAATATAAACAATAATTGGTTGTACATAGACTTACTCGTGACTAATATTTTGTTTGTATGTTCCTCCTTTTATGAGCAAGCACTGAAAAATAGCCAAGGCAGATCTTAGCATTTGTTGTTAAGAAGGTATTTATTTATGTTTATATAAAAGTTTTAATTTTATACAATGCCGCGATGGAATGAACTTATAAGTACAAACAAAAAACCGCAGAAAATATATTTGTGAAAGAGGGTCACGGTTATACAAACAAGGATATCTTGAAATGTTACATCAACACCGCCATACTGCATTTGTGTTTCGTCAGCAGGACGTTTGTGTGTTTACTTGTTATTAACTCATAAGACAACTTTTAATTGCAGCTAAATTGCAAAATTTTACATACCCCAATTTTACCTTTGCAAGAGTTTTAAAATCGCTTTAAAAGGCCGGTTTTTAATGTTTTCCTATTTGGTAATTTTTGCACATATCTAAATACAATTTTTAATTTATTGCCATGAATTTATGCCTATAGAATTTAGGCTTAGTGCCGACGAAGAAATAAATAAATTTAAAGGATTTTTAAAAACAACAGGAAAATGTTTCCAAAACCCAAGCATTTTAGTTTATAAATTAGATTTAAACGGTTTTTAAATATTTCAGAAGCCTTACCCGACACCATTGCCACCAACTGCGGGAAGTGCACAGAAAAACAGAAGGCCAACGTCAGGAAAGTGATTAAGGTTATACAGCAGAAACATTCCACGGAATGGGAAAAACTTGTGAAGAAACATGATCCTTCGGGAAAACACCGTGCTGATTTCGACAAATTCCTTCTAGGAAGCTAAATATTTATTAATAAGTTATTTTGGTTTAGGCCACACTTATGTGGGGATGCATAGGCTTAGTAACTGTTTCATTTATATTGTTCACTTCTTACATGTTTTACGATGCTCTCTATTTCACAACTGTTTTTGTTATTCATAGATAATTTTAAGCAAATATGTTGTTCTAATCAATTGTGATAAACAAAATTCTTTGAGTACGTAAGCTATAAAAGTGGAAGGAAACTGGAGTTTATAATACTTTTTATTTATTGTTGAACGGACAAAGATATTGACTGATATTGTATACATTAAATATCTACTTTAAATATTTTTATAGTTTTTTCTTTTAAAGATAACATTCTTTTGGGATTGGAGTTTAGGAACATTAATATTTAAGTTAGGTTTGTCATGATATTCATTAATACAAAAATGAATGTCAGATAGACCCGAAAACGTATTAAAATAGGGGCTGGACACGTGCATCTTTCTTGGATTGCATATTCACAAAATGAAGTGAAAGATAAAAGTTTCGCATTTATGTTCATGGCACCGTTGCATTAAAATGAACAAAACAGCAAATTCGATCAGGTTGTTAGTTCACTCAAGACTCATCACTGAGTTGTCAAGCCATCGTCATATCTCAGCAATTCCATATATGAGTCGACTATTATCAAAGCCGGCAATGTGACTTTTGGACAATTATTGGTAAATCAGAAAAACGAATTATTGACTTTGTATTCCATTGGCAGTCAAAAAACTCTTCTGAACGACATCTTAGATAAATAACAGGTTAAGTATTAACCTTTATTTAATGCAGGTTTTGAACCGTATTCTTTGAAGGAGACGATTATATTCAAATCAATCTGTATTGACATATCAATAACATTTTTTTGTCCAAATGCACAGATTGCCACCTTTGATAATAGACGACTAATATATCTTAAAATCAAAGAGATTTTATTGAAGTACAATGCTTTGTATGGCTGTGATATGTGGGTTATTGGGTCAGACAGCGAGACCAGGTGCGGTTGCGCAGCGCAGTTAACTTACAGTGATGTAAGATTTCACATTACCCAATACTATCATATAATCTTTAATATCGCTCAATCGTTTTGTATTTATTATGCAATGAAACTGTGAAATCATTAGATTGCAATTAAGTTCGGTTTACTGGAATTCGTTTTGGTTTGGTCTTAAGGTAAGCATTTGAAGCAGATGAATCGTTTTAAAACTTTCTAAATACAATTACTACCTACTGAAAACGATTTTTAGTCCATATGGTGTTTAAGTGATTAACAGAGCCAGTATACCAATTATAATATAAGGTCAAAGTCTTTCTCAAGCTACAAGGTATGACTAATTGATGTCAGAAAGGGACAGAATAGCAGTGGTTATCCCTGCGAACTCATAACATGTATCACCACTAAATAATTATGGAAATTCATAATTTTGCAAGCTTTATTTTTATTACACGATATTTATTATTCATTCTTATTCATTTGGAAATTATGAAATCCTGCTAATTACGTGTTTTATTGTAAACACTGGTACCTGCCTGCGGAATTTGAAAGCTGGCATTGTTGAATTATTTGAAAAGAGAAAAAGGTTGTCTGCGTATATGCCAATCTGCAGGTAACGCACCAGTCACGGTCCTCGTTGAACTCGTCGATTACGACCAAAAGTTCGACAAGCAAACTGGCCCATAGACACAGCCCACTCAGTTTGAGTAATCATCTCAAACAATTCCTCGGAGAATTCCCCATTGAACATGCGGTACAAAATACAGAGAGACCTTCGCAAACCCAGAGGTTCCAAACAATCCCTGAGAATGGGATTATCGACAATCTAAAAGTTTCTCTTCTGTATGGAGTCAAATGGAAGTAGCCGGTATTTGGGAGCCCTGGTTCACAGGTGGGAGCAGTACTCCACGCGAGGCTGGACTTGTGCTTTGAAAAGCTAAAGTCTTTGTCCAGGCGTGAAGTACCGCTTCGCTCTGTTGAGGACTCCCAGTATTATGGATGTCAACTTGGGTTTGAACTCCAAATTTTTATTTATTTATTGCTTAGACCGTTGGACAATCTTACACCCCACCTGGTATTAGGTGGTTACTGGAGCCCATAGGCATGACGCAACGTAAATGCGCCACCCACCTTGAAATATAAGTTCTAAGGTCTCAGTATAGTCACAACGGCTGCCCCATCCTTCAAACCGAAATGCATTACTGCTTCACGACAGAAATAGGCAGGGTGGTGGTGCCCACTCGTGCAAACTCACAAGAGGTCCTACCACCAGTAAAAAATGACTCCGAAATTGGACATCGCTCAAAATGTCGATCCCAAGTATCCCAATAGTCGTGGGAGTATTTCACCTTCACGTCCTACCCGTCAGGGCGTATCAGGAATAGCTCTATGTCCCCAAGGGTAGAGAGAAAAAAGTAACAGCATTCAATATTTATCTTTTCAGGTTATCATACTTTACGAACCTGCAGTCTGAGACAAAGGCCCATACGTCTGTAGTTTCTAATTCAGTCTTAGGGGGCTTTAGTAGCATATAGTTTTGTAATTTTGTTTTAATCTTGTCATAATGGAAACAAGTAGGATTCAGGTTTAGGGCTTAATAATACAATAAAAGTAATCATTACGACAAAGAAAATGTTTATTAATCTGTAATGCTCCCCATAGTGCTAGTCGAAAATCCGTTTTCATTTGCCAGTCTGTTGTTTCGAAATTCTACTATTGGTTTCAATTTAATCTGTTGCCACAACAAAAGCGGCGAATTGCTTTTCGTATTCCCCTTTAGGGTCATACTTAGCTCTGAATTGACTAAAATCATCGGGTCTCTTGACGCTCAGCGCTTTGACGGTTTTCCTTAAACCTGTTTTCTGTATTGGTGTACATTTGGCACACGATGTTGCTATCACTTCGGGCAGCAGTTCTAAAAACAGTGTTAATTATTAATAATTACATTTTACATTTTTGATTTTTTCGAATCCTGGGTATAGTTACTGAAAATAGGTAAATTTTTAGCATTCCTAATGACAGGAAAAAGCTTCAAATTGGTGGTAGGCCCTCTTGTGAGTCCGCGAGGGTAGGTACCACCACCCAGCCTGTTTCTACCGTGAAGCAGTAATGAGTTTCGGTTTGAAGGGTGGGGCAGCCGTTGTAACTATACTTGAGACCTTAGTACTTATATCTCAAGGTGGGTGGCGCATTTACGTTGTAGATGTCTATGGGCTCCAGTAAACACTTAAAACCGGGTGGGCTGTGAGCTCGTCCACCCATGTAAGCAATAAAATAATACGTACGTCTGCATCGCAGCATAAATATATGTATTTAGAAGAGAAAAAATATAGATTACCTTTCGCTTAGGAATTATAGTTTACGAATTATTTATATATACTTGTATAATATAATAATTGGTATGAATAATTTACGTTTCATAAAAATATCCAAACTGTTTCAAGTGTATTCAACGTTACACACTTAAATTACAGATTAATTACAATACGTATTAATTTTCTGACTTTCTTAATTGATCAATGACATTAGCACTGATGGCTTCAAACTTCAACGGCCTATCTCGAATTCCTATGCTATGATTCAATAACTCTTTCGTAATTAACTAATATATTAACTACTACTACAAACACATATAATTACACATACACATCGACGCTTGAAAGGCAAATGTGACTAAGCGACAATAACTGCTTTTTACATAAATGATAGGCAATAACCATATTCGATGCGCAAAAAATATATATTTCTAGGTCCATTAAAATCATTTTAATCCTACAGCTACTAGCTAGATTCTACTACAGCTGGATTCGTTAAAATAAATTTTGTTTTCAGGCATTTCCACTTTAAATTAGTCTACTGTAAAGTTCACGCATTGTCGCTTAGTCACGTTTGTCTTTCAAGCGTCGATATGTCTTATGTTTAAAGCGCTCGAAATTAGAACAAACAAAATAATTAAGAAAACACTTTTCTAAAAATATTAAACATATTTTGGACAGTGGAAATGTTAATAATTAGCTATTACACAAATGTAATAGACGTGGTTATCCATTGACATATATAACATAAATATCGACTCAAAAAAATTATCAAATGACAGTTTTGCTGCATTATCTATATGTAGGTATGTATCGTTATTTGACCTGCGTATTTCTGCCGTGAAGCAGTAATGCGTTTCGGTTTGAAGGGTGGGGCAGCCGTTGTAACTATACTTGAGATCTTAGAACATATCTCTCCACAAGGTGAGTGGTGCATTTACGTTGTAGATATCTATGGGCTCCAGTAACCACTTAACATCAGGTGGGCTGTGAGCTCGTCCACCCATCTAAGCTATAAAAAAAAAAGAACTAAATAATCTCCAAAGACAAGATAAGAAAGTCGACATATATAGTTTGATGAAATTTACCTTTGAATTCCGACGAATACTCGACTTCACAGGGTCCTTTATCTAACATACAATTAATGTAGTCCGTGAACAGCTTGTCGTCACTCAATATCTTGTCTACATCGATCTTGTCATATTTCTCGTCATAGCACCATATCGAAAATGGAAGCGTCAAAGCAAAAATCGCTATTAGGAGATTGTTCATGTTCCTTGGTTGCTAAAAAAAAAAAATTTGTAATATTTTTTTATTTATTGCTAAGATGGGTGGACGAACTCACGGCCCACCTGCTGTTACGTGATTACTGGAGCCCATAGACATCTACAACGTAAATGCGCCACCCACCTTGAGATATAAGTTCTAAAGTATCAAGTATAGTTACAACGGCTGCCCCGCCCTTCAAACCGAAACGCATTACTGCTTCACGGCAAAAATACGCAGGGTGGTGGTACCTTACCCGTGCGGACGCACAAGAGGTCCTACCACCAGTAAGTACGCAAATTATAATTTTGCGGGTTTGATTTTTATTACACGATGTTATTCCTTCACCGTGGAAGTCAATCGTGAACATTTGCTACGTACATGTTTCATTCGAAAAATTGGTAGGTACCCACCCGCCTGCGGGATCCGAACACCGTTGCATCGCTAGATACGATTGTACCGGACATCTTATCCTTTAAGCCTCGACAACTTATACGACGACTTATAATAATTGGTAATTAATATAATAATTAAAAGGTCGCTGTCTAGAATAGTACCACCCAAACTCTTCCCGTGACTGTTGTAAAAGGTGATTAAGGGATTTATCGAAGAATGAGAAGTAGCACTCTGGGAGTATTAGTGGTATGGCGTATTGTAAACAGGCATGGGTAGGTATCTACATCCTGCATATATATTTACGTTATGAATCAGTCATGCGCTTTGCTTTGAAAGGCAACAAGACCTTAAGCTCGAGTAACTCTTAGATTAATAATATCAATAAATTTTATTTAAGCTGAGCCCTTACTAAATAGAATTGAGACGTTGATCTTGTGATTCAAGGAGGATCTCAACATTAATCTTACGTTGTCTATGGGTTCCCTTAACGTCGTGACATCATTCAATCATTCAAGCAATAAAAAAATGAGCATATTTTCAATTCTGCATCGGTTTTGAAAATGAAGAGACAAGTTTATAAGGCTTATGTTTATAAAATTATTTAAGGGTGTCGACATACCACATAATTATCGATATTTGATTAAGGAGTGCAGTTATTATTACTATGGCGGTAGCCATCATACAACACAAGTTATTTGACAGACGCGTGAATCTCGCTTACGACATTTTTAACATAAGCTTTCATATATACAAGTTCCGAACAACATTGGACCGTCGGTCTACCGAGCAATATCACTCGCTCAGTGGAAGATCTTCCCTTTGTCGGCTAACTCTACAATTACTATTATTCAACAACATTGTACAATTAGGATATTTAGAGTGCATTTACATGTTTTAGTTTTGGCGGGCTTTCTGTCTCTACCACAGACTATATCAATGTGCATAGAGAACGCTGCTTGTGGTTGGAGGTACCAGAGAAGATTCGAAAATAGCACCAGTGGCAAAAAAGTGATATGACTTTGTTGGATTTTGCAATAATGTTTGCAAAAGATTTTAGTGGTCAGAAGTCTTTTTATTAAGTGGACCGGGAGAGGATATTTTACCGTTTTGTGAATGAAACACAACAAGAGTGGCTTAATAATAATATATTCGATACGGTGCAAAAAATCATAAATGGTATAAAATTCCTGATGCCAAAAATCATCGACGAGTTGATTTATTTTGTTATTAGTTTATTTGATATATATATATATATATATATAAGCTTTTTAAAAATATATTCTGAATGTTACCCTCACCAAAATGTAGTAAATCGGATACCGGCGGCCACAAAATACTATATTTTCATCGGCTCGGACGCAGTATTTATATTGATATGACAAAAGGAAATCTACAATTATTATAATATCATTAAAACAGAAAATATAATGGTTTCGTTTTATAAATATAGCATTCGTCATTAATGTCATTATCTATATAACTACACCGAAATTATGAATAAATTGTATTCACTTCCGGTAAAATTTGAACAGAATTCAAAGTTTGTTATCGTTTAACATTATTATTTTGTAAATGTTAATTATGGCATTCAGTCTATTTTTCTGATTGTTTTCATTTAGTAAGTACTATGTTTCATTTAGTGAGAAATAATAAGGTAATTGTATATTGAATTCGTCGCATATTTAGTTGCATCACAAGAACGCTTTCGGACCGCTAGTTGGAAATATTGTACTCACCTACACCGCGTTTCTAGAATAAGTTTTGCCACATACCATCAAGCTCTTGACTTATCTTTATTTTTCTGTTTTCCCCCAGTACTACGAGAAGCTAAAATTAATACGGTGCTTTAAAATACCGCTCTTAGCGGTAGGCAGCAAATTGGCTACCCCTGGCGCTGCCGATGTTTATAATCATGACAATGACAATTTGAGATAAGAGAAAACGTAAGCCTAGATAACGTTGTTAAAGAAAGTAAAGGTTGCATATTTTAATTCAAGACAAAAATTAATACTTTTTCGAAGCGCCTTATGAAATCGTATTTGTCTTGCTTGACCTGAGTGATTGCTAATTGAACGATGGAAGGAGCAAATTTGAAATAGGTTAGTACTACCGAGCCTCTTCATACTTACAATTTCTTGTTTCTATTAAAATAACTTATATCGGATAAACACATCAGCTTCAAATTAATAACAAAAGGTCTAGGGTATTTTCTTGGAAGAAGGGATTTAAACGCTGATTGCGAGCCCGTATTTTTTTAATGGTAGGTAAACTTTAATGATGATTCTAGATCGTTCTTCGGTTTTTGCGAGATTGTGAACACAATAATTGAAAATTCTTTTACAGACGACTATTATCATGAAATCTATAAAGTATTCCATACAACTGAATTAATATAAGTGACATTTAACGAATACGAAATTAAGGCACTAATCTTCTTGGCTATTTTTACCAACAGGCAATTAGACTTTTCGGTTTGTAGGATGAGACATCCGTTCGGAATTTGACATCGTTTCTGTAAGTGGGTCACGGTGTTAAAGTTGTGTGAGCCATGGGCTTCAGAAACTATAAGACACTAAATTACTCGTAGCTTGTCTACCTATCTACAGAAGAAAGTACTTTTGACCCTAAAAAAAGTCGAAAAAAAGTAAAAGATACTCTTGATTTTTCTATAATAATTAACCTTGACTTATGACTCATTTTAATTTACGCTCTGTACTAGCTTGCAAAATAATTCTAATAATTTAATATACGGTTTACTCCTACCATTGTTTGTTTATTGATCGCATTTTTTTTAAGGTACTTTATGTATATGGCAGTCAATACTCAGCACACAATTGTGGTCGTCCGTCTTGAGATATCCGGTGGAATCCTCAACTGTCTTGGAATATCCTCTATCCAACACATAAAAACGGAATGGAAGATGGTGATATCAACTATATGCCGTCCTAAAAATACCCCATTACTATTATAGTTAAAAGGCGTTGAGAGATAAAGCTATATCTGGTAATAGTAATTAAGTAGGTAACGTCTCTACATATTAGTTCTACTTGACGTGTGATTTAAGTATGTTTTGAGTTAATTCTAAATTTAATTGGGTTTATTTATTAAAAGTAAATAATGTTAAACATTAAATCTATTTGAAAGGCTATTTAACTTAAGCGTTATTTTTGCAACTTTCATGGAGAGCCATTTAAAGTTTAAAATTTGGACAACAATAAACTTCTTCAGCTATTTGAATGGAGTAAATTTAATTGCAGTTGAATTAAAGCATCGAACTCTCGATGCCAATACCAAGTAAAACGCATCTTCTATATCTATATCTATACTAATATTATAAAGAGGAAAGATTTGTTTGTTTGTTTGTTTCGAATAGGCTCTGAAACTACTGGACCGATTTGAAAAATTCTTTTTCCATTAGAAGCCGACATTGTCCCTGATGAACATAGGCTACTATTTTTAATTTTTATTTTATTTTTATTTTTTGGTTTCATGTGTGTTTTAATGTTTCCGAAGCAAAGCGAGGGCGGGTCGCTAGTTAATAATAATTACAAAGATAAACGTCGCGTATTAAGCGGAATGTCGCTTAACCCAAATAACTTTTCCTCGATATCTTGATTGTACGTATTTTACTTTTGATTTCTTATAATTTCATTATTGTATACCAAATATTTTGCACACACAGTTAATACATCAGAACCTCTAAAATAACTATCATACAGCAATTAAGCGTTTTAGATTTACCGTTTTTGGCCTGCAAACAATCGTGACACACTTTTCTACACATAAATAAAGAACAGTTAAAGATTACGTTTGTCAATAAGAAACATTTATATGTACTTTTTTTCGTCTTTTCGATTTAACGATTTAATAAACGGCTGTCTGGTGTAGTGGTAAGTGACATGGTCACTACACAAGGGGGTCGCGGTTTCGAATCCCACCAAGGGAAGATATTTGTATGATAAATATAAATGTCTTTTGCAGGGTTATGGATGTATATTAAATATATTCATGTGTATAATAAAAATCTTACATTTATTTTCGTTATCTGGTACCTGTAACACAAGTTCTTTACGAACTTATCACGGGACAAGTTAACGTGGCGTGTATTAGTAAATATTTATTTATTTATTTATAATGTTTCATGATAGAGCTCTATTGGTACAGATACAAGGTAGTCCGATTTCTTCATTATTACTATTTTAAATGATGTTCATTTATGAAGATTACTATGACTTTTTCTAATATATTGTTTTTTTTATCTGCACTCTTCGAAGCAATAAAAATTTTCTTGAGACAGAACATATAGATAATGACGTACTTATGCCCGTATCTTTAGACGTTTCGTCAAATATTCCTCCACTCTTTACTCATACGATGTCGCTCGAGAATTCCTCCCAAACTTACTCGAGTTTGGTATTTTTAGTCGACCATTACATTACTCCTCAACTCTACTCGAGTGAGGTAGAGCCGTGGTATTGCGTCACCACGGCGTCATCAGTTTGAGAAAAATTTGATCAAGCTAGCATCAAACCCATAGAGTTCTGTACCCGGTCCCGAGTAATGCTGAAGGGTACATTTTTGACTACGGAACACGTTGTTCCATATTATTCATATTTCATAACAATATATTACTCTTAACAAGCTTAATCACGTTTGCATTTAAGGTTAGACTATATAACAAGAGTCTTTCTGAGCCGCAAAATATTATTCATAATCTAGCGATACATATTTTAGTTTCAAAGATAGTATAGGATAATTACTGGTGGTAGGATCTCTTGTGAGTCCGCTTGGGTAGGTACCACCACCCTTCCTATTTCTGCGCTGAAGCAGTAATGCGTTTCGCAGCCGGCATCCGTTGTAGCTATACTGAGACCTTAGAACTTATGTCTCAAGGTGGATGGCGCATTTACGTTGTAGATGTCTATGGGCTCCAGTAACCACTTAACAGCAGGTTGGCTGTGAGATCGTCCACCCATCTAAGCAATAAAAAAAAATGTTTAAAGTATTATCTTTCGTGTTACAGCGCGCGATATTTATCTGCAAATTAATGAGTGAAAACAAATTGTCTGCCTTTTTGCTCAAAAGTCTCAGCATAAATCGGAATACGCGCTCCAAACTAGTATCCGATATGAGGTAAAAGGAACAAAAACCCGCGCTGCATGTTGTTAGGCGACCACGCTGCTTTCTTTATTTCCTGGCTTGTTTGTATGCGGTCCGTTACATCGACCTCAAGGCGCCGGAGACTGGTTTGAGAAATGCTTGCACCCTACAGTTTAACCGAGAAACGACCATACCGACGGTGCCAGCCGACCTCGGAGGTCTTCCGCATACTTTCTTTCTGAGTAAGTTAGAAATTATTACGTGAAAGTGTCGTTCGAACGTTAAAACACTCAGTGCGGCAGTATATTTGTGTTGTTCTTATGTTTTCTGTTTGTAAATATTTCAATCAGCCTTTTTGAGAACCAATTCTGTTGTCACCTTAAAGTTATTGTGTTATCTGTTGTCTGCTATGATATTAGGTGAACTGAATTCGACTATAACTTTCCTTAGTACTAGTCACTGTCAACTCGATTAATTTTATTCTTTATATTTTTAAATATCTTAAAAAATTGTGATATTATTTTTTAATCGTGACCATATTTAATTTTGTCATTTTAAATTGAATCGTGTCGTATCGTATGTTGTAATTATAATTTTTTTTTAACTGTTATGAATGATTAATATGGAACGCGATTTTTTACAGTTCGATCAGACCTACCTTAACGACCAGTTTAGAATATCGTGTGTTCCTTGTCTGTTTGTAACTTTCTATTTTTTCTATGGCAAGCATTCCACTTGACGGTAAGTGATCACGATCGCTTATGGACATCAGAAATGCGAGGGGCACAGTTATGACGCTGCCAATCGCTTTTTGCAATTTATCACCTACAGGAGAAGCAGAATTTCAAACTGAAGGCCGTCCTCAGATGAGATTTTAAATTGTACGCGTGATCACGTCCAATCAACTCCTCATCCCGTCGCTTTGACATCTATACGTGTGGATGGCACTGGATGGTGTTTTTTTTTTATTGCTTAGATGCGTGGATGAGCTCACAGCCCACCTGGTGTTAAGTGGTTACTGGAACCCATAGACATTTACAACGTAAATGCGCCACCCACTTTGAGATATAAGTTCTAAGGTCTCAGTATAGTTACAACGGCTGCCCCACCCTTCAAGCGGAAACGCATTACTGCTTCACGACAGAAATAGGCGGGGTGTTGGTACCTACCCGTGCGGACTCACAAGAGGTCCTACCACCAGTCATTACGCAAATTATAATTTTGCGGGTTTGATTTTTATTACACGATGTTATTCCTTTACCGTGGTAGTCAATCGTGAACATTTGTTACGTACATGTTTCATTCGACTCGACCCGTGCGGACTCACATGAGGTCCAACCACCAGTAAGTGGAGTATTTTGAAAGGTCTATGTCTAATCTCCCTTCATCTTAGTTACAGCATAAACGACAACATGAAGAGTTCGCTGTTCTGCGTGTTGGTGCTGACGGTGGTGGTATCAAGCTCCCGGCAGCAGAGCTATCCCAGAAACGACAATATCAACATCAACGCTATCTTACAAAACGACCGGATCCTGCTCGGTTATTATAAATGCGTCATGGACAGGGGACCGTGCACGAAAGATGGAAAAACCTTCAAGCGTACGTTTGTTTACTTTTAAAATATTCAAATAATACGAGCGTGTTCACGAGCGACTCTCACGTTGAAACAGTTTGATGATAAAAGAAAAAGCCTTACAAGCTTCGCGTACTTAGTAGCGGTATCTTTTTATGTTTAAGAGATTACTGGTGGCCCGGAGGCCTTTCTAGTTTTACCAGGGCAGGTGGGCGAGTTAAGGCTCAGCCAGGATTTTTATTTTATCGTCCACCCACGAGCTCACAGCCCACCTGGTGTTAAGTGGTTACTGGAGCCCATAGACATCTATAACGTATATGCGCCACCCACCTTGAGATATAAGTTTGGGGTGGATTTTCTAAAAGCTACCCGAGCGCCTCCAAAGGAGACCTAACAACTCAAGAGTAGTTGCGAATGAATCTACTACCGGATCGGAATCGCAACCCGCTGAGAAGATCACGTGGCGGTATTCGACATGTCTATATGTATGGCAAAGCAGTCATGCGCTCCGATTTGAATAGCTCTTATACAATTTGAAGGATGGGATAGCTCTTATACAATTTAATGGGGAATCCGACCTCATGTCTCAAGGTGGGTAGAGGCATTCACCTTGTAAAGTCTATGGACTCTAGTAATAACATAACACTAAGCGCGCACCGAAAAAGCAAACTAATATGGATCATACAAAGCCTATAATACTTTTCGAATTATCTAGACGGTTAATTGTGTTGCACCGCCTTACCTTGAGTGTCAACTGTATTTAGCAGACATTAAAATGAAACCTTATTAACCTGTCTATTGTTTTGAAAATAATTTCGAATTAACAGTGTTGCGTATTCAATAATAAATAATGTGTGTAGTGGAAAATAGGTTCGAATTAGACTAGATATTCGACTAGACACACCGGCCATGGATGAGATATGAATTAGGTTCATAAATATAGCGGCGCTTCAAAAATATTAGTTTTAGTCTATTTGACAGAAAGGAAGGCTGTTTGAGTTAAACTGGTGAGGTGGGTGGCGCATTTACGTTGTGGATGTCTATGGGCTCCAGTAACCACTTAACAACACCAGGTGGGCTGTGAGCTCGTTCACTCATCTTAGCAATAAAAAAAACTAAAAAAAAAAACTTAAAAAGCTTAAAAAACTTAAAAAATAAAGTATCAACTGTCAGTATCAATGCGCCATTTCGACAAAGCGGCACAACACGAGAACCCTCTCATTGTGGCCGCTGGTTGCCTACATTGCCGATCCTGCGGACCAAAGGGTAAACAGTCGACGTCGCCTAAAACACGTTATCTCGGATCCTCCCGATCCACTAAGAGTGCTTTTAGGTACCCCAAGCACCGATTCTCGCCGGATCTTCTCTGTGGGTCGCGTTTCCAATCCGGTGGTAGATTTTGCGAAGCGCGGCTCTTGCTAGGGTTCGTGTTAGCAACATCGTCAGGTGTGAGCCCCATGAGCTCACCCACTAGCCCGGTGACGCTGATATGGTCTCTCTAGACCATCAGCTAGGGTAGGAAAAAAAAGTAAAATAAATAACCAGTATATCGAGGGGTTAAAAGCTATTTGGTTTAAGCGATATTTCGCTTAATACGCGATATTTATCTTTGTAATTAAAGTTGCGTTTTTTTTTGTGTTACCATCAACAGTTCAACGTTTTTAATTGGACTTCAATTAAGTTAACTCCATTCAAATAGCTGAAGAAGTTTTGTTTTTTATATTTTTATCAAAATTTTGAACTTCAAAGGGCTCTCTTTTAAAGTTACAAAAATGTCGCTTAAACCTTATACTCTTTCTTTTCACCCTTCGATATAATTAGCCACGGTTAACAGTCACATTGTTTGGGTAGTGAAATTATTTTAGATAATTTTTATTTCTGTTTTATATAGAGCTCATGGCTCATTTGTCGCAATACATAGACATCACATTGTGAATATCGACCCACCTAGACACACGGAGCTTAACTCTATATTGTATAGTACAATGTCATAGGCAACAATTAGGCAAAGTGATGACCTTAATATGAGAATTTCAGAAAATTTCTATTAGAACTAGAATTGATCAATCCTTTAAGAGCTTATTATATATGTAGATGAATATGTAATATTGGGATATATAATATATAATTCCATTANCATTGTGAATATCGACCCACCTAGACACACGGAGCTTAACTCTATATTGTATAGTACAATGTCATAGGCAACAATTAGGCAAAGTGATGACCTTAATATGAGAATTTCAGAAAATTTCTATTAGAACTAGAATTGATCAATCCTTTAAGAGCTTATTATATATGTAGATGAATATGTAATATTGGGATATATAATATATAATTCCATTAAAATGAACCGCAAAAGTATTTAGCTGTTCATTTTAATGGAATTTAAGTAGGCAGCGGCTTGGCTCTGCCCCTGGCATTGCTGAAGCCCATGGGCGACGGTAACCACTCACCATCGGGTAGACCGTATGCTCATCTACCTACAAGGGCGATAAAAAAAATTAAGTCTATTTTGGAACAGATGGGCCCGATAAAACCTGGGCCTCGATAAAGAGATAAAAAGTTAATTTACCGCGTTTCAGTTATACGAGTAATAAAATAGTGACCATATTCCAATGCCTCAGAAATTATATCTTAAGGTGACGTTCACGAAATCCATCTATTATATCTATGACTGTTATTTTTTTATTTATTTTTATTATGATTGAAAGATTACTGGTGGCCCGGAGGCCTTTCCAGTTTCACCAGGACAGGTGGGCGAGCAAAGGCTCAGCCAGGAGGGGTAGGATTTGCTAACAACTGCCCAAGCGCCTCCGAAGCTATGACTGCTAAGTACATAACTTCAGGAGGGATAATAACTCGTTTATTAACTACCCGTGTAATATATAGTAAAAAAATAATAATTTAATTGTATTCTTTTAAATTTAGGTGCTCTTCCGGAGGCATTGCCGACAGCTTGTGCGCGGTGCTCTAATAAGCAGAAGGCAGCTTTCCGGACACTTCTTCTAGCGATCAGGGCCAGAAGCGAACCAAGCTTTCTGGAATTACTCGACAAATACGATCCGTCAAGATCTAATAGAGAATTACTGTATACATTTTTAGCCACAGGCCTTTAGGGGTCCATGCCCTAGATTTAGATTTAGTATAGTTATAATAATAGATCTTTATCTATGAAGTTGCCGTATTACAATACTGGCCATTTAAAACTTATTAATATATATTTGACTGGCATTAAATTCTAATGAATATTCTTGGAAAAACATGGAATTCTATTTTCAAATTCAGTCAGTCATTTGTTTATTGATTGGTGTTTTGTTTTCACAGCATTTATATCTTTTTCATCAATGTGGATACGATTAAAATACGAGTAATTATATATGTATTCCACAGAATACGAATTTGGTCATGATAACAATGCCACACACGTGGCGTGCGTGCATCAATAAGGGAAAAAAAACTTTTTGGGAAGGAAAAAATTCAATACCCAAGAGGTAGTACGCAAAATGCCTAGAGTTTGCCGTCTTTTATACGCTAGACTTTTTCGAGAAGACTATTGAATAATTACCACTGCGCTGGTCCCCAATGGATATTGTATTTTGATTACTATAAAGATATAAAATATCTATAAAAAAATTATTAACTTTCTGTATACTAAACGGCAACTTCGTAGTTAAAGACCAATGTTTCGGCATGTGAACGAAAACACTAAATCGGAATCGTAATGTAACTATATGCAAACTCAACTACGATCATATGTAATTCACATCAACAAATAGACTAATTAACGCATTTATTTTTAAATTATTTGTAATTGCTATTTACTAAGAATAAATACAGCAATAAACGTAAATGTTTTTCCTTGCAATCAGTTTAATAAATTGTAAGTCATTCGAGAACTTGTAATATTATTGAGATGCCAATAATGTTCATATTTATCTGTAACGTCAGCTCAGCTTGGCAATTAGTGTTATAGATATATATGTATTAAATATGATCCTTCCTTTCTGAGAATCATAGTTGGAATCTTTGCATTTTAATATAAATACAGGACCGGATCATTTTGCAATCATATTGTTTTCAACCTGCATCGTTTGTACTAACTAGGAAATCTTGTACTTAATTTCAATATGAAACTGCTATTGGTTTTTCTTGGCCTATTCTTAGCCGTACTGGCTCAAGACAAATACGAACCAATCGATGACAGCTTTGATGCTTCTGAAGTCTTGAGTAACGAAAGGCTTCTTAAGTCGTACACTAAGTGTTTACTGAATCAAGGGCCCTGCACTGCAGAATTGAAGAAAATTAAAGGTAATCAGATTTATATTTTTTAATGCATTACTAGTATTAATACAGCTTGGTGTTAAGTGGTCGCTGCTGCCCATAGACATCATAACGTAACATAACATAACGCGAACGCCGTTATCCAATTTGAGACATGTGGCCGAAGCCTCAATTTTACTATACAATGGTTCTCCTATCCGCCCTTTAAACCATTGCAGTCAATATATATATATACTTACATATAATAAATATTTAATTAATATATTTTTTATTAACCAAATTACTCGTTTCTAATCTACTAAATTATACTCTAAGCTAACGGTATGTTCTATCTTTTTTTTTTTCTTTTTTTTTTGCTTAGATGTGTGGACGAGCTCACAGCCCACCTGGTGTTAAGTGGTTACTGGAGCCCATAGACATCTACAACGTAAATGCGCCACACACCTTGAGATATAGTTCTAAGGTCTCAGTATAGTTACAACGGCTGCCCCACCCTTCAAACCGAAACGCATTACTGCTTCACGGCAGAAATAGGCAGGGCGGTGGTACCTACCCGTGCGGACTCACAAGAGGTCCTACCACCAGTAATTACGCAAATTATAATTTTGCGGGTTTGATTTTTACTGCACGATGTTATTCCTTCACCGTGGAAGTCAATCGTGAACATTTGTTGAGTACGTATTTCATTAGAAAAATTGGTACCCGCCAGCCAGATTCGAACACCGGTGCATCGCTCGATACGAATGCACCGGACGTCTTATCCTTTAGGCCACGACGACTACTATTTATCTATTTTAGGACAGTTAAAATTCTTTAGGGCATTTCGAAACGATTGAAGACACACTTCTCCTTGACTATGACATCTCTTAGCTTCGTTCCAAATCTCATTGAAATTTTCATCTGTAAATTTTTCCCCTGCTGCTTCAAAAACTTTTCTGACGACATCCTTATCGCGTTTTGTGTACATGTCACGATGACTTATTCCAAAATGAGAGAGCACAGATGGATTCAAACAGGCTTTCATACAAGATTCTTCGGGAAGGTGGAATCTATCTGCTTTGCAGTATCCTGCCGGCGTTACCGGAAAATCTAAATCAATATATCTTCCTGATGGAACTCCTCCCATCGACGACGTATTTTGATGCTCATAGCTTACCATATCTGTATAAGTTGTACGGAAATCTAAACAGTCTCTTGAGAAAAGTTGTATCTTTGGGAGTTCAGGAGACGGCTTTTGATAATTGATAATGTTTACAAATTTTTTATATTCTATATTTTCACCGTCAAAAGCTTTCCATATTCTTAATAACGGTTCAACGAAATATGGATCAAATCGTATGAGCTTAGTTCTACAATAATTATAAACGACTTCCTTGGGAAGCCATCCAGTTTTAGTCTTATCTAAATATTTCAATCTTAAATTGATATCTCTAAAAAAATTGGAATCGTAGCGCTTAGAAAGGCATTTCCGCAAAGTGTTTAAATGACCAAGACATTTCCTTATAAGCTCATTTTCTGGATTAATATCGCACATTGACGACCACTCTTGAGTTTTATCCGACGTAGGTTCGGTTTTACCAAAGGTAAAATTCTCAGGAACACATTTAATATTTTCATTCGGTGCAGAATATGTTCCTAGACAGGCTCTGTTAGCCTTCACAAAATCGGCATGAATATAGTTAAGTGGTCGTCTTAAAGCGCTTCCCTCAAGGATTTTTTCATCAGTAAGACAACGTTTTACTCCTGATTCATAGCTAGTTTTGTTTGAATATTTCCCATAAGTTTTTTTATGGTCGTAAGCTGGTCGGCAATATTTTCGATTGGTTTGAACCCCTGGACCTTTTGTTGCGTTTATAATATCAGTTACAGGCTCTGACGGTAAAACAACGTCATAAAGTCGTTCACGTAATGGAACTTTTTCACCGAGTGCATTCTTGTAAATGTCATAACCTTCTGGTAGCATTGGAGTTGGATCCGGAATTGTACCAACCTCTTTTCTCCAGTAAGAATTATAAGCTGTATTTTTAAAGTCCTCAACGAGCGTTTGAAATTTTGTTTTGACTGGTGGATTTAAAAGCTGGGCTGCTTCACTGAAAGGACCAGCATTCCGCATATCTAATTTTGGTGGATGTCGTAAAGGTGGTAGACGATTTGTTTTTTGTTGAGGAAATATTGTGTCACGTTGAAGAGCTTCTACTTCATCCTGTAAGCCGTATTTTTTTATACAATCTTGAATTTTATCTGAATGTCTACTTGTTTTACCAGCTGCAAAAATTTTTGGTTGCCTATCGATAAATAAACCGAAGTTTCCTTGGCCCCCACTCGAAGTTTGGCATTGTTTTTTTAACATTTTACCTAATTAATCAATTATATCAGAATGTTGTAATTCATACAAATAAATGAAAATTGTAGCTAGTTTACTTCAAAGACTTATGTCTAAAATTTAGTTATTTATTTGACATAATAGACTTATTGACAGAGTAAAAAGTACATCAGTGATTTTACAATTATTAAAAAACATCATTAATAAAAATATTTTTTTGGAAAAAGGGTCTTTCTGCTATCAAAAAACGCGATAAAATATCGCTAGGTGAACATGTTCAAATATATTCTAAATAAATAAACTATAAAAATACACTACATGCTAGAGAGATTTCACTTGGTATGGTGAAAGTAACTCTTGCATTTCGTTTTGTTCGAAAACAAGTTTTGACGTCATCGTGGCATAAAGGATAAGGCGCCGTGTGTACTTGTATAGAGCGATATGTGTTAAATGCCGCAGACTAGTATACATTTTTATAATTAAATACATACGTAATTAATGTTCACAAATGACTGGATGGAGGAATAATTATAAAAGACAAAAATCATATTTTACTGTTTACTGTTGCGTAGTTACTAGTGGTAGGGCATCTTGTCCGCACGGGTAGGTGTGACCACTTTGGCTATTCCGACTTAAATTGAGACTTAAGCCTCATGTCTCAAGTTGAGTAGTGGCATTTAGGCAATTGATGTCTATGCACTCCGATTGTTACTAAACCCCAAGGGGATCGTGAGCTATTTCATGCGCAATAAAAAAACTTAATACCCGTTTATTTTTTAGATAAAATCCCAGAAGCTTTGGAGACTCATTGTGCGAAATGTACTGATAAACAGAAGCAGATGGCGAAACAACTTGCGCAAGGAATTAAGAAGACACACCCGGAGTTATGGGACGAGTTCATTACTTTTTACGACCCTCAAGGAAAATATCAAACTTCTTTCAAAGATTTTCTTGAGTCTTAAATAAAAAAAACAGTATTTCAGTTTGTTTAATAGATATATTCATTTGGATTAGGTAATATCTGATTTTTTAGGCATATGTGTATTACAGTGAATAAAATTATTAATTAGAATCAGTCATTTTATTGTCATTGTCCAACTTATGTCTATCCATTGCGCGACGAAATGATTCTATGCAAACCCATCCTTTTGAGTGACATTTCTCAGCTATCTTCCAAATAGTATGGAATTCATCATCACTGAAAACTTCTCCGGTTGCCTCAAACACTTTTCGTATTACTTTAGGATCTCTTTTCTGAAACATATCCCTGTGACTAACATGGAATAATGTAAGCACACTTGGACTAATGCAAGACTTGACATCCGATTCTTGTGGTAGGCATGATCTGTCTGCTTTGCAATATCGTTCAGGTGTTACGGGATCGTCCATGTCAAAATATCTACCAGAAGGAAGTCCTGCCATAGGGCTAGGATCTGGTGTCTTTCCAGCTTTGACCATTTCGGAATAAGTTGTACGAAAATCCAAGCATTCAGCAGGAAGATCTGGTATTTTGGGTAAATCAGGCAACGGTTCTCTGTAGTTAATAAGATAAACAAATGTTTTGTATTCAATGTATTCACCGTTAAAGGCCTGCCACATGTACAGCAAGGGCTCTATAAGAGATGGATCAAATCTAATTAGTTTCTCTCCACAGCATTCATAGACTATATTTTTTGGTATCCATCCTGATTTGGTTCCATCAAAATATTTTAAGCTTAAATAAAACTGCTGAAAAAACGTGGGTAAAAATCTAGTTGACAAGCATTTACGTAAAGTGTTCAAATGTTTTAAACATTTTCTGATAATGTTTAAGTTTGGATTTATTTGGCAAGGTGTAAGACATTCAGCCAGATTGTCAGGTTTTTTTATTTTCCCAAAAGAATACCCTTTTGGAACACAAACAATATTGTCACAAGGGGCCAATACAGTCCCTATTCTAGGCTGATTTATATCTTGAAAATTAGATTGTATACTATTTATGATAGTTCTATTTGCTGCTCCTTGTGCGACCCTATCATCCGTTAAACAGCACCTCGCATAAGTTCCCCTTTTATCTACTAAAGTTCTATGCCCATATATAACATCAGATCTGTACGGAGGTGAACAATATTTCCGATTTTTTTGTATTCCAGGTTGCTTAGAAATTTCTGTATCAGGACAAGGCTCTTTTGGCATAACTATTTCGTACAATCGTCCATGGTCCGGTGTTTTCTTGCCAAACGTGGTAGTGCCATCGAAGCCTTCAGGTAACATTGGTACGGAATCTTTTACTTGGCCCAAAGGGCTTTTCCAGTATGAAGAATAAATTGTTGTTTTTAAATCTTCAACGAGGGTTTGAAATTTTGTTTTGATAGGCGGATTTACAATTTTTGCTACATTACAGAATGGACCGGCAAAACGCATATCAGGTGGAATTGGATGTCGCAGAGGTGGTAAAGGAAGTGACTTTTTAAGTGGTAATATGGCATCACTTAAAAGTGCATCTGTTTCATCTTTTAGTAAATAATGTTCTAATGAATCACCAACACGGTCATCAGGTTGTGCAGTAGGAAGGCCGGCTGAACATATCCTTGGATCTCGTTCAATAAACATACCTTGGTTACCTTTCCCCCCAGAAGTTGATCTTTGGCAATCCACAGGCATTTTATAAATTAAAAAAAAACGTATAAATTAGATAAAACAAGTCAAAATTTTCTTAATATGTTAAAAAGCTAAATTACGAAAAACCGTGTATTTATTTGATAAGAATGAAATCTATCAAAATTCAGAAATTATTGAATTGTCATTAGTTATCAAATTCCACAAAAGTACTTAAAAGAAGGTTTAATGTCAAAAAATGTTTGGTGTAAAAACGAATAATTTAAGTTGCAATTTTTGGATTGCGGAAACTTTTTAACGCACCCTCGTATTTGCCCGCCGCAGTTCGCATCATCTGGCTTGCTTATTCTTGTAGTAGCCTGTCCTACATTCTAATAAAGTTGATTCACGTTATAGTCTACATACATATGTATGTATGTATATATATAGACTATACAACATAACACTAGATGAGCTGTCTAGCTGTCAAGACTAATAGAAAAGAAACAGTGTTCACAAAAGACAATTACAAATATAGCATTGAATTCACTGTTTACAACAAATCCAGTAATTTATGTTTGCTATTGTTCAAACAAAGGAAGACATCACATGAATCATCTTGACAAACCAGTAGTAGTTAATTCAGTAATGTACACATTAGAATTGTGCTCACGAATGTAATTGCTGCATGTATGTTTGTATCACTAAACAATAATGACGGGAAAAACTTTATAAAACAGTGGAAAATATCTTTTAAGCTCATTTCCAACAAGGAAGGATTAAGAATAGACTTAGTGCCTCCCGTTGAATATTTTGCGTTTTATGGGGATATAGTAGAATTTCATTCCACCTATATTTTTGGTCCTATATTGTATTGTCAGTAAGTCCGATTTTATTATTTTTGTATTTACAAAAAATAAAACCAACTTTTAATTACATATTAGTAATGTCTTCATTTTTTATTGTCACTTAATAAACAGAGTAGACGGCTCAGGTCACCGTCGTTTAAAAAAGTAAGCAATACCAGGGGTACAGCTAGCAGGTCAGCCTATTGCTGTTATTGCCTAATTCGAAGAAGAACTTGTGATAGCGAACACATTACCTATAGCATAGACATTAATTTTGTTAAGCAACAAATCGCAGAAAAGTGGTTCATTCGTTTATCAACTAAACTTTCACAACTCAATACTCGATTACCTTTATTTAGGAATCTACTCATAGTTTGAAATAATCTTTAGGTATTCATTAGATCGTAAGAATGAATTTTTCAACCTCACGCAAAATAGGTGACAAGTCATCGGATTGCGAATAGACTGAGTGGAAGCAAAAAAAGCTGATTTTTTTAAATGAAACATTTATGTTCACGTTCGGCGGTTTCACTGTCTTTTTAAACTTTAGACGCTAAATATTGTCGAAGTGGAGTGGAATAATACGCTTCTCCAACTCTTGACAATTAAGATTTTACAATTTTGATGGATTTTTTGAAATTATAAATCCATGTAAAGAGCTATATGCATATAATAGCTGCGTATAAGTAGCTCCGATAGGTAAATCAATCCGAAGGATCAAGTCTGAATTGCATCGAAAAAATGGCTTTCTTATTCCTTACTCCGGAATACCATAATCGGTTCAGGAGGTTGGTGATAGCTCCCGTGCGGACTTTTATATAACACTGGTAAAAAGTAATGTTTAAATTAGATCATTACTATCAAACATAGGAGTAACGAGTGCAAGAAGTAATGACAACTACTTTCTATCATGCCTGTTTTTTTTGTTATCGTAAATTTAGGGTTAATTAACAATAAAAAAAAATTTTTCAGGTAAAAATGAAACTCACTAGTTTTCTTCTAGTTGGGATGGCTATGGTGTCAGCAGAGTTTTATAGTTCCCGCTATGACGATTTTGATGTCAAGCCATTAGTGGAAAATGATCGAATTTTACAAAGCTACACCAATTGCTTTCTTGACAAAGGACCGTGTACCCCAGATGCCAAGGAATTTAAAAGTAGGCTATTTACACTTTATTCTAAATCCATTTTCTATCTATCTAGTTATATTTATTATAGCTTCCTAAATAATTTTGTTTAACGTGGCCGATTGATTGAGAGTGATTTCATAGCTACCATTGCGGCTAAACTGATTTATATACTAATAACTATATAAATGAATAATACCATAGTGACAAGTCGAACTTATGATAATCCAGTATTCAGAGGCGTGTACCTGAATCGGGAAGTACATGTGAGGACTTTTAAATGAAAAGGAATATAAATTTCATTTCATAAAGTAGTGTAAATTATAATAATATAAAGTAGTTTAATTTTGATTATTGTTATTCCAGAAGTGATACCCGAAGCTCTGGAAACAACTTGCGGGAAATGCTCGCCAAAACAAAAGCAGTTGATTAAGACAGTGATTAAAGCTGTTATCGAACGCCATCCCGAAGCGTGGGAGGAGCTTGTCAACAAATATGACAAGGACAGAAAATTTAGACCATCTTTCGATAAATTCATTAACGAAGACGACTAACTTTAGCGGCTTGGCTCTGCCCCTGGCATTGGTGAGATCCATGAGCAACGGTAACAACTCACCATCAGGTGGGCCGTATGACTACAGGGGCAATAAATAAAAAATTCTTAGTTTAGTCGTAATTGAGTAAAACTTTAGATATTTTAAGTTCAATTAATTAAGACTCATACATAGCATGTTTTGTCAGATTTTCATAGATCATAGATTTAAATAAAAAAGCCTTTGTCTTAGACCTACCTCGTGCTTAATAATTTTTTTCATAACTTTCATAATGATGATTGCTGGTGTCTTTCGGTTTCAAACGAAAGCCCTAAACGTTTTTAGATCGTATTTTTGTATTTGTATGTTTTCACACTTTATTTTTGTAATTAAAAGTAAAAGTTAAAAGAGGAATAGTTGAAAAATGTTTTATTAAAGAAAATCCAATTAAAGCTTTTGTTACTAATACTATGTCATTAAAGCTGCAGTTTTAATCCAATCCACGTGCCAAAATGTGCATCTAAGCTTCGTTCTAAGCGGAGCCTTTGACAGCATCGATTTTGTCTTTGTATCTCGCTTGGTAGATGTTGTCGGGATCATATTTAACAGCCAACTCCTTCCATAAGTCCGGCCGTTTATTTACCAAATGTCTAATGACTTTGTCAGCTCCCGACTTCTGTTTCCCAGTACACTTAACACACTCATGTTCAAGAGCATCAGGAAGAGTTTCCTTTAAGGCTTTACCGTCTGGAGTGCAACGACCTCTTTCAAGGAGACAGTCGACGTAACCTTTCATGAGTCGGGTGGACTCGAGGATCTCATCGACGTTTATGTTATCCCATTTATCAGTATAGGTCGATTCCGGACGCGCCCAAGTGACCGCCACACATGCCACCACTACTATGATCAGTATTTTCATTGTAGGTCTGTAATAAAATGATTCTTTGAATATATATATAAAAATGAATTGCTGTTCGTTAGTCTCGCTAAAATTCAAGAACGGCTGAACCGATTTGGCTAATTTTGGTCTTGAATTATTTGTGGAAGTCCAGAGAAGGTTTAAAAGGTAGATAAATATGAAAATGCTTGGAATTGAATAAAAATAATAATTTTCTATTCCCTTTGATGTGTCCCCGTCGGACGGATCCCTATTGTATGTTTTAAGTTTATTTTATGCAAAAGCTTAGATATTTTATTTATCGATTGAGGCACTACGAAGTCTGCCGGGTCAACTAGTAATAAATATAATCTCGTCTCCCAATCAAATTTAAACCTAAATACCACTTAACAACCTATTGCATTATAAGGTTTATGTGTATATAATAGATCCCTGAGAAAAGTACCTGTTAGATAATTGTTTGAGTAAACAATGAACATTAGTTTGACATCAATAAAGTTTTGATAAACAGATTGCACAATAAGTTAACAATAGATGGGAAGCGTTTTTCTTGTACCTTGTAGTTACTGGTCGCGACTTGCCAGTGTTGATATTCTTATAATTATTTTGATTGTCCATTGTTTATTGTTGCGCCCGCTGTGGCTATTATAAGGAATAGAAACCTTTACGGTGTTTGCATACGCGAACAGCTTTGTTTGCTTACGAAATGATAATGATCTTTGACGACCTAATAATGGAAATACATATAATGGGAACTGAAAGTTTAGTTACGTTTTAGGTTAGTTTTGAGATATTACTTTTGATATAAATTTATTTATCTGTATGAATTTGAGTAAATGAAAAGTTTTTTTGGATCCTCGATCTCAATTTGAACAAGATACTCGAAGCACGGATGAGTCCGCACGGGTAGGTACTACCGCCCCGCCTATTTCTGCCGTGAAGCAGTAATGCGTTTCGGTTTGAAAGGTGGGGCAGCCGTTGTAGCTATACTGAGACCTTAGAACTTATATCTCAAGGTGTGTGGCGCATTTACGTTGTAGATGTCTATGGGCTCCAGTAACCACTTAACACCAGGTGGGCTGTGAGCTCGTCCACACATCTAAGCAATAAAAAAATTAAAAAAACCAAGTGAAGTATTCTAAGCTTTGAGTTTGTATATACTCCTATGCCTTAGGGTGAAGTAATGGTAAATTGAACTAAAATATTTGATGTTTTAAGATTTTTTCTGTAGTTACGATAGTCCGATTACGATATGTTCAATTGCGTTTTTTTATTGAATTTAGATAAAATTAACTCATGAGAAAGAAAGAAATTACTGATGGTTTTTTTTTTGTATTATCTTAATTCAAAGAATATCAAATAACAAACAAAATCAATAACAGACACAGAAAATGTGAATTAGTAATTAAATTTAAAATTACATTAAAATTTAAAGTCGTACTTCCAATTAAAACACACAAAATATTTTGTGAATTTAATACCATTGAATACAAAATTCACACTTATTTGAGAATATCATAAACGGATGTGAAGGAAATTAAATGTACATTAAATTATAATTTTTCGTTAGAAATAATAAGTTTTAATTAGTTACTATGCGAATAAAAGTATAAGTTTAAATGCGTCGAAAATTTAGAGGTCAAATTGGTTTACACAGAATGAAGGTCATTGGCATAGTTCATAACGTTAGTTATCTTCGGTGGCAGTGGACTAGCCATTAATGTTAAAGAATTAACAATCACTGGAGTAAAAGGGATAAGAGCAAACATAGATGGCACCCCAACCAAATTGAATGACATGTTCTTCATAACATGCGAACATGCAAGGGACAAGAACTTGGTGAGAAGACTCTAACGCCACATAGTGGTAGGTAAGAGAGAGAGACCCAGCTTATGTAGTAAGCTGCTCTGTGCAAATGAACTATTAATGCTGTAGCTTTCATAATCTTTCATAAAATGAAAAACTGCATTGGATGCTAGTATAACGACTTATTAAACTTATTTTTTTGTAATATGAACTTACAATTACAGACATTCCAGTAATTGAAGTTTGATAGTAATTAATTGATTGTAATTTTTTTTGCTAAGATTTGGAATTGGGAAAACGTTTTCTATTTGTTAAAACAATGTAATTTAATAGTTTTAAATTCAAAACAACTACGACCTTGATCATACGAATTTTCTATCTAAAAACTGTAGGTCTTGTATTTTAACTAAAAAAGCGAAATTAGAAAAAAAAAACAGCCAACCACGAGAAAATAAGGAAAAGCAATATTTAATTTTAAACAAGTATCGCAGAAGCTAATAAAAATAATTATAAAGTTCGGTGAACAATAATCATTTACTTACTGTTAATTATTTATCCCGTGAGCACTCTTAGACCCTTCGCTGGGCTGTGACGCCTATTGCACTAGCTATGGGAGTTTTTATACTGCACATTTATTGAGGCTGGTATTGTGACGCCATTTAAATTGATCTATAGGATGAAAGACAATAGTACGCGGAAGATTAGGTACTTAATTGGTCCTGTTCGTTCTCTGTGATGTCACAATTTACGACACAGAAATATAATGAATGGTAAAGAACGGTAAGTTAGTCATGGCACGCCATCAATTTCGAAGGATCCAAGGTATTACACATTAAATTTTTTTTTGTTGCTAATTTTTACCTTGATGTGATTATGAAATTGAATTTGAAATTGAAAATGATTAAAATTTAATAAATTTACGTGTATTTCATTAATTTTGAATCATTACTTAGTTGCGTCTTATTTCATTATAATTTTTTTTATGCTTGCAATTCTACTTAAAATTACTGCAGACATGAACTTAGGTAGCGGCTTGATCGTGTTCATGGTATTGGTAATATCTATGGGCGACAGGGAGCAGTCACGAGATGAAGCAGTGACCTACAAAGGCAAAAAAACTATTCAAATTGAAGAAACATTACCTACTGAGACCTTTAAACAAATGTAACGATCTAACAAGGTACCGTCTTTGTTTAAAGCCCAAAGTCATGTGCTGTTTCCTGATTAGTTTTCCTACTAAAGTTTTCCTCGAAATGTTTAAACCATAACCATATAGATATAATCGTGTGACGCCATGTTAAATTTAATAGGGTAATAAAAATGATAAGAATAATAATAACTGGTAACAAATCACGCATGGTTATTCGGCCTTAAATTAGGAATCCCTGTGTTAAGGATACCAAGAATTAACGTACATACCTATATACGTTTAAGTATATACATATATAGATAATAAGCACCTAGACGAAGGGCAAACAAACCTGTTCATCACACGAATGTTTGCCCCATGTCGGAATCGAATCCACGACCCTTTGGCGGAACAATAAGGGGCGCTAAGTACTGCGCCACAGAGTCAATCAAGCCAATGTTTAATACAAAGGAGGTATTATGTAAATTATTTATTTTCTTAACTTTGTTTGTGTCATTTTCTTAACTTTGTTTTTGTTTTTTAATAAATTTAATTATTTATTGCTTCTGCGCTTATAGCCACAGAGCTTGTAGCTGTCATAAATTACTTTATGTCGACTGCCAAATGTTAATAAATCAAAAGTATGATCTTCTAGTAGACGTTATTTTTGATTGGAAGTAACTTTAAGAAAACCATTTCGCGGCTTAAGTGTGTTCTTCTTGTCTGTTTTCTTGTTCTTCTTCTTCTTCTTGTCTGTCTTCTTGTACTTGTATGTGTGTCTTTTAGAATAGAAAGCGGTCCTGAGATATAGACGTACTGGAGCTATGTTTTGAACAGCTGCTGTATAGCCCCCCCCCCTTCCCCTCTCCCACCTTTCTTCTATATGGTAGCAATCGCGTTATAATGTATATTGGATCTTGTAACCACTTACCATGAGGTAACTTGTGAAGCTCGATTACCGCAAGCTTTAAAAAACATTAAAACAACCTATATAGGCTCATGTTAGGCCAGGTTCAGGGTGAGGCAGCCATTGTAACTATACTGAGACCTTAGAACTCATATCTCAAGGTGGGTGGCGGCATTTACGTTGTAGATATCTATGGGCTCCAGTAACCACTTAACCAGGTGGGCTGTGAGATCGTCCACCCATCTAAGCAATAAAAAAAAGGTTCCAGCCAGTGTTAAAATTTTCTGTACGCCATCAGATATTAAAAATATGTGTGAGAGAAACCAGGTTTTAAGCTTGTTATGCTATTAGCATAATAATAATGGCAAGGCAAGTGAAACTCCAGGAAAGGTCATTTTATTCAGTCAACCTTCCATTTTTGCATTAATGAATTAATATTATACAGCGGAAATGTTTAAAAATTATCTTCGTCAGCATAAGCAATAATTGGTTGTTTAAAATTTAGTCATGAACACAAAATACTATTTATACGCTACCTGAATTAAAAGCGTTCTATACTCTAAGCTCGATACTTAACATCCATCCAAATTATTTTATAAAGAAAAGAATTAACATCGAATTCAGAAAGCTCGTCTACGTCAGTCAAATATACCTAACACAAAGACTTCTATTGAATAAATAAGGCTATATAAATACGACTGGCAAACTATCAAAATATATCCCAGTTAAAACAAAATGTATAGACACTGTCACCCGCGATGATGTTAGGATTCTAATAATACTTCATATGTACAAATCATTTTAAATAATTAAAAGTTATGATGGAATAAACGAACTCACACACATAAACTCAGAAAATGTTACCACTTCTTTGGATAATTGTTAAACAATCGATATTTTTGAAACAATAATAAAAAACATTTATCCATGTATTATGCTTTCTAATTCTGATGTTCAAAATTTCAAAGCCGTCAGTAAGTTATATTCGAAATAATATACAAAATTCCTTCGGAAAAGAGATATGTGAAATCAAGTTAATAAAATCCTGGTAAAAAGTACAATTGTTAAAATATAGTTACAACACAATTTTTTTAAATGTTTTCTAAAAACGTTTTGTATCAATGAACTTCATAGTTATCATTAGAATACGCAGGCTTATGCAATAGCCATAAGCACGTCGTCAATCATGTTCTGCGTGTTCAGTAGTGGAATATTTTCTCGTTATTTTCCCTCAGCGATATGACAATGACACGCTGGGCAATTAGCGATTGATTGACGATTACATATAGCTTTATTAGTGAAAATTCATTATCATTTCATTTTGTTTCGTTTGATCTTCATTTGGAACTAATTCACGTTATATTTTCACTTTGTTTGTTTACGAATTTTGTTGATTTTAGACTAATACAATTTTTTGTTTGGTTTTGAACGGATTTTATTGTTCTTCCCCGTATTTATAAAATTTACATAGTAAATTAAAAGGAACGGTTCAGTGTTTTTAAGGTATATTTTCTGAATAAAATATGAGCCAAATACGGAAGCATTTTATTTATTATTGTAACCATAAAACATTTTGAAAGCAACCTAACCTAATATTGACATTTTATAAAGAATTTCCATAGTATAAATATTCCTATTCTGTCAATTCCCGGTTTGAGTTAGGTAAAAAAAAAGATCGTTGTATACGTGTAACACAAGTAACAATCAAATTACAAGTTAAATATTGACCGTGATCCGTGAAATACAAAAAGAATTCTTTTGGATGCTCTACAGCTTTTGAGGGATTTCAACGAATGAGATGTTATTAGATTTTATTAATTTGTAGGGGTGACGTAACATGTATTATTTCAATTTGGTACCCGGGAAAAAAGAAATTGTTGATTAATATTTATTCATTGTATTCTATAATACTATAGAACACACAATTTTTTTTCTTTAAATACAATAAAATAAGTAAAAAGTGTGAAACAAAATAAAATACTTTTACAAATGAAACCAAAATTCTAAGTGAATTAATAATGGTAACTAAAAAGTTAAAAAAACAACCAAGGTTAGTAGAGGTTTCAATGACCGAAAATTATTATCATATACATTATATATATATTATATACACATTACGTATTTTGTCTTAGTCGTTCTCGCCAACTAGACCTTTACTAACATAGCTTGTTTTTCGTTTTAAGGCTTAGTATTTTTGATGTACGCAGTATTTTTCTTTCATATAAAAATTTATTTATTTATTTATAATATATATTTTCATCATGTTCACCACCGCACAACCATTGTGTTTCTGATGTAATTTAACTAATTTGACCTACAGCTTTTTAACAGGTCGTCGGTCTGACGTCAATTTTTAGGGATCCTAAGTTCGTGATTGGAAAAAAGATGTAATTTAATTATTACTAAGTAAAGATCTTACTACTAAGGCAGATAATAAGTAGCCATACCTATAGTTGAAGATTGCCTTCTAATCGTTGCTGAAAAGGGATGGACAGAACTAATTATAGTGGATTGATGGCATGATTCATATGACTACGAGTATATAATACATTCACATATAATTTCACTATGCCCTGTGTTAGCCAGCTAGCTAAATTGTTAAAAAGGCGGGAGTCGTTCAGCAACTGTTTTAAGTTAAATTGCGTGATGAAGAAATCTTTAAATAAGCTTTTTACTTCATCATTAATTGCAGGCTGGTTCACACAGCTCTTAAGTCTTAACTTTTAACCTTTAACTTTTCATCATATGATCCAATATTCCTTCATTTCTGTATCGATTCAACATGCATCACAAGTTTCAACAAGCGTTTCTTCCTGCAGATCAGTCAAATTATGAGGCGCCCATTTTTCATGTTTTTTTTATTTGTTTAATTTGACGCAGTTAAGGCAATATTGTTGGTAAGGTAACGTTAAACCATGCCGCTAATTCCTGGTTAGTTTGGCTCGGATCGGTTCCCACCATGTCTTTCAATTCATTATTGTTCACATGTCTTCTACGTGGTTCGTTCTTCAAATCAAAATTTCCATCACGAAAGCGTTCAAACCAAAATCGCACGGTGCATTCATTAGCAGTCCCCTCTCCAAATGCAACACCGATATTGCGAGCTGTTTCTGCAGCGTTAGTTCCGCGTCGGAACTCGTATTCAAAAATCACTCGAATTTTCGAAGTATCCATATTTCTTGTTTAAACTGAATTAAAAAAAAAAAAACTGAAAGTCGATAATTGAATGTTGCAAATTTTTTAAAAGAACCTCATAGGTACCATTTCAAAAAAGTTTCACTAAAAAATCTCAAGCCATGAAGGTTCTATGTCAATTCGAAGTACCTATTGCAATTAAACGGCAATTTCATACTTTAACTTTAATATTTTATGTAATAGGTATATAAAATATTAAACGCGTGATTCGACATTATATATTTGTCAGTAGCCCGCGAAACCCTGGTAAATACAAACTCATTTCAATTACCTAGTATCTTTGTGTTATTTTAATATCGCCTTCAATTAAAACAATGGCATTGTAAAACAAGAAAAATATTATACGCAATAAAGCAAAAAACAATCATAACTATTGTTTATCTCGTCCGAAAAAAAAACAAAATAATGTGATACCACTAATGTATTTTAAGAAAAACAAGTAA